TCAATGAATGAAGATAGAAAGTGTTCACAGCGATCATTCTATCCGCAGCTTACCATGTCAGTCAGCAAGAGATTGAGTATCATGGATGCCCTCAAACCGCTTATACATAGTGGCATGGAGGTTGACTCCTCGCATTGGACTAGATTTGCATTTTTGGTGGGTTTCTTCAGGCATCCAGATTGTTTTTACTGAATTTGAGACAGTGCCGTTGTCTTCGCATCTTCCTGATCAGTGTTTGTGATCATGAAAAGCTCACCCTCAAGGAAGCCTTCTCCCCCTACCTCATCCCCTCGCTCCATCAAGATCTTGTAGAGCATATTGAGAAAACGCTCAATGTTGATATGGTTCAGTTGGCGGATGAATTTTCGGAGTATCACCCAGGCCAGGGATCTGCGGATCAAGAAGAACGCTCTGGTGCCTATGAAAGCCTCAACGATCCTACCAGCCATGATGCGAGCTCCACCGCAGCGGCAGTCACCAACAATCTGGTTGACGAAGAGGACCGCCAGGCTGATCCAACTGCAATCGAAGGTCCCTTTACAGATGCGGATGCGAATGAAATCCCTGACGAGTCTTTTGGTACTCCTGATTGTGCGACATCTGGCTTTGGACTCGACGGTGGCTTCAAAAAATGGAACAAACAAAAATTTTGGAACTATGTTGATGCAATGCTGGAGCAGCTTCGCAAAAGTGCACGTGAGCAATCAGGAGGTCAGACTGCTGGGTATGAAGATGCGTACCGCAAGTACGTGATATCTCTGTACACCGTTTATTCACCTTACTGACTAATGAATAGGGCAATGGTCGAGTTTCTCCAGCTCGACCTGCAGGAGTTCCCTGGTCGCCGCAAGGCTCTATCTCTTGTGAAAGGTTCACAGCCTGTATGGCAGGAAACAATTCAGAAAAAGTTGTTATGGTAAAGTTTGCGCGCTCATTCATTCGTAGTCCTCATTTAATTATAATCAATTAATCATTATATAAATTGTCTACTTTCGTTGAATGCATGGTGTCTCGTCGTGTTTTGTATACGAGTCTGAGTACCACCGTGGTGCATTACTGGCCGATCACCGAGAGAGATATCCGCCATGTATAGCGGATGTATCATGACATTCGTCATTCATACCTACTTGGACATGCTGCCTCAGATATGCAGGTGAAAACATAATCTGTATGTCTCAATCAATACACCTCATTTACATCTGCGGGCGACCATTAAACTGAAAATTTCCATAGATACGAACATCTTATCTTAGGACAGATATCACCTAAATAATTAATTTATATCCTACAGAAGTCGCACAGAGACCGGGCAATCAAATATTTTTGAACATAATCGCATATATATTTATGATTTACGTGGTATGTCGCGCGAAAACCCTATGGATGATGCGTGTGAGATATTGGATATATAATTTCTATTTTTGACACCAGATTTACAAAATGGTGGGTTTGCCGTGTACATCTAATAGTACGACGTTCTATAGCATTTACAACTGCATTACCTAATCTCAAACGAGTGCATGGGTCGACCGATATTCAGGTAGGCCAATGTCGCCCGGGGAGGGACCTGTGAACCAATCAACGGTGTTCAGCCTAGTTGCGCCGTGTTACAAGATTTTGGAAACGGTTTTGAAAACTCAACGAATTCGAAAGCAATTATCTCGTTGACCAGAGACAGAAGTCGCAAGACCGTGCCATCCAGTGCACTCTGCGCCGTGGTGCTATTACATGACACACACCCTCAAGTACAAACGAAGTCTAATTCGAATTCGTCATCGCTCGGACGTGTCTTTCTCGCGCTCCGTTCACAATCTCAAACGAACACTGAAATGGTTCAGGGTGACTTCGATAGAGTTAGCTGCAGGTTCTCGAGTACATACTAGGCCACTTACATCGCCAAGCCGGTGGTGAACTCCGGCTTCACCTCAATCTTGTTTCCGTTTGAGTCTTTGGCATGATCGATGCGCAAGACGGCGAGTATGGCAGCAGTTGCGGTCCACAGACTATTCTCTGCGAACCAGCGACCTGCCAAGGAAATTTATCATCCTCAGCATTACCAGATCAACCACGAATAATCCTACCAGGACAAATACACCTTGCAATAAGGGTCGGTGAATGATCGAAAATGATAGCAAGTGCGGAATATTTACCTCCCATGACCAAAGGCAAAATGGTTGACGAAAGGGTCTTTCAGCTTCCCGTCGACTGTCAGATGGCGATTAGGATCGAAGCGCGATGCATCGGTAAATACATCTTCATCCCGAGAGAGTGCCCTGAGCCACGCTCAGCTCAAGCCGCCGTTACATGCACCTCACCATGACATACCACTGATTAACCATTACCATCGCACCTGATTGCACTACAGATGAGTCAACGACAACCTCGACATATACGACTTCGAACCTTTGGGTATGAAGTACCCGTCGTAAACATCATCATTTGGTGACGCATGTGGAACTCCTGTGCAAGGGGTCGACTATTGAAACAGAGTTATATTACTGCGGACTGACCTAGGGGGGGGCGATAGGATACCATCTCAGGACCTCGCGGAGGATGGCATCAAGGTAGGGCATTGACGCCCTATCATCAAGGCACGGCATTTTATCATGTTTTACAACTTGGTCGATTTCTGTACGAGCCCGAGCTTGGACATCAGGACAGAGCACCATGGCCAGCAGAAATGTCTGCAATGCGGCTGCACTCTGCTGGACATCAAAGTAAGAATCAGGACTGCTTGAGTAGCGACTCACAGTGTCCATGCCAACTAAGATGCCGGATTCCCGTCAATGAATGGATGTGGTCCTCTCAAAAAACTCTTACCCATGTACCCCGTCAACGCAACAGCCTTCATGGTGTCTTCATCAGCCTCGTCGTGAGCTTGACAGAGAAAGTCAGCGACCAATGAGTGTGAGGCAATACCATTTGCCTTGACGCAATCAGATCAGGCAAAATTTACATCCACAGCTCTGCGCAAACGCACCATCTGTGCCTTCACTTCATTGAAGGGCTCGTTCAAAAGCTGTTGAACTAATTCTCTACAGCGTCCCATCAGGGCAAATGCTCCACCGAAGCACCAGAACGGTAACTTTTCGACTGCAACCTCGTTTTGAATGTTCAAATTTATGTCGTCGATAAAGGCACTCACGGAAAGGAAATGCTGTAAACATGGTAGCCTTCTCGGGAGAAACAATGCGCTGGCCAATATCAAAAAGTTCGCGCGCACGGGAAAGAAATGGGTCTTCATGTCCATGAGCATGGTATCATATGTCACAGCCATGATTAGGGACGCCGCGTATCTGTCACAAGGATTGATCGTCAACTGGACCATACATCACAATAACACCACTGGACTAGGTACATACGCTTCAGTGTGATGCTGTAGTAGGTCGCTAGTGCCACCTAAGAGATTGATGACGAGTTCATTTGCGTGGCGAGAGTACAACTCGCGGTATGAGATCGAGACTTCGGCCCTGAGGACTTGATGGAAGATCTTGCGATGTTGTCGTAAGGTTTCTCCATACGGAAGGAATGCAGTATTGAAAGACCCTCCAATTCTGCATTGTCAGTTGATAAAGAACAAAATGAATGAAAACCGGCAATATATACAATTCGTTGGTGCGAATGACAGGGCGAGTAGAGTAATTCCCAGAACGTCTGTCCAACAACTCCCGCGCGATCGTTTCAGAGTTTATGATAATCAAGTCGATCCCAAATATGTCGGAGTGAATGATTTTTCCTATGATCAAAGATGAAATTAAATCTGAGAGCTTGGCAATGAGGCCATTGGTCTGCCACCAACCATATGTCTTTCCCGAATCTCCATGCGGAGTATGTGAGCCAAGGTCGTTTAGTATCCAATTGCAGCGCATTACCGAAAAATGGTAACGGAGGAGGGCCAGGCGGTAAAGGTAAAGGGTAGACACGTCTGCGAGTCAGACGCGAAACGACAACCAAGGCAACAATGCACGATATCCCTGAAGCGAGAATATGAGTGGAGAGCATGGCGAGGGATTATGGTCGAGCTCAAGACATGTTTGATGGCAGTTCGCCTCATAAAAGGCATATTTGACCCGCATATCATGCTTGAGTTGAAGACCGGTGTGATGGTACCTGTGACAAATGTCAAGTAGTAGTACTACTTACATAGGTAACCAGTACCACCATGCACAATCTGCAGAAGGCATCTGCTTTGTACTTTCTGCATGCATCCTCCCGGTTACATACTCGATTGCTCTTCCTCAAACAAAAAGCAAAGCTGCTACTAGCTACTATATTTAGACATCAAGCCGCAATGCATCTCGGCGAGATGGCGCATGCCGCAGTCAAAGCTTCCAACTTAATTAAGTACTTTCGGGCGATGTTCATAGTTTTATGTATTCCCGCAATGTTCGTTTATCGAAGAACTATAAGTAGGAGAGCTACTTGGAGGATATGCCAGTTGAGAGGTAATACTTACTAATTCTTGAGTCTTTACATTACGGTACCTTGCTTTCGCCACGGCTAGCGCTAAGTTGCTACTATTTGTTTGCTTATTCTCATTAACATACATAGCATCTACTTAGTTGCGTTCGTTCGTTCCCCTCTCCTACCGCTTTTGTTAGTGCGACGGCGTCTATTATTCAACATCATTTGCACATTAATGTGTCACACTAAAATCGCTGTTCGTTTGCCCGCCCACCTAGCGGCTCAATCCTTCAGCGTCCAGCCCGAGCTAACCTTCGGACACAGCCCAACCTCATGACGCCTTCGCACTTCTCGCCTTCCAAACAGCGACAGTCGAACTTGAAGTCGGCTCGTGATAACACGCCACTAGTAGAGTACAATGAACAAAAGATGCACCCGAGTCCACAGCTGACCTTCCACACCGATCCACTCTGACACTGTGGACGATGGTCTAAGCCTTCTACCATACTCGGATATAAAGATGCACCTCATAGCGTACGTCGAGGCCACCACAAATCGTCCGCTCTTCCTTGACCCCAATCATACTCTGCATTATCATGGAAAAGATGTCCACCACCACAGCCATGACGTGCTGCAATAGCCCTACTTCGATGAGCATCACAAATGCTCAGGTCCTGTCCCCTAACAACATACTCACCCCCGCCGAACGAAAGGCCTTCGGTAGATCAGATCATAAAGCTGGCAAGGTCCTCGGCGTCACACTCACGCGTAACCACGTGGGACAGGATAAGAGACTTTCTTTGTGCCTATCACAAGATCAAGAGAATTTCCAAGGTGATAACGAGGAAGGTGCGGTTATAGGTACAAAGCGTTCATTCAGCCGCAATGCAAGCACCGCCACCATCATTGGGCCACTCAAGGACAGGCTTGGCCGTATACTCGCTTCAGGTATGAAAATGGTAGAGAAGCAGAACAAGGGGCGCATGGCCGCTGGGGGATATCCGCCACGCATTGTCTTGGGCCTCTTACGGTCCAATGAATTACCTGGCAAGGAAGGTATGGAAGAACTACCGACTGGCGTTAGCGACGAACTTTGTGCCCATTCGCTTGCGGAGCTAGATGAGAATGAAAATACAGAGGCGCCTCTTGGAGCCGAGTTTCTAGAGCGAAATGAAGAGGAGCAAGACGATCTATTTGGCGGTTCCCCGATGGACCTTGTTCGGGACGTCGAAAACCCGTTGGCGAGTCCGGCCCTTGATCGACGTGTTTCACCGGTTGCATCTCCAATTCATTTCGAGGTATCATTCGAGGAAGAAAGTCTGGCACTCTCCTCTGACGACTCGTTTGACTACATGCTTCGTCCGGCGGAACGGGCTTACGTCGATTTTTTGATTGCACAGGACGAAGTCGAAGGGCAAACAGTGGAGAGGAGAGCATTGCGATCCAGGAACAAAGTGCTGGATGTGTTGGGAGTAGAGGCGCGACAAGCAGTCAATGAGCAATGCTAAACACTGCTAGTTGAAATCATATGCTTATGGGTCGTGTTAGTCAGACTCATAAGTGGCTTGGGCACAAGCTTTCGAAATCGCGGACGTTCCATTAGGCTTAGGTTCAACAACTATATGTCTTTGCCAAGCGCCTGTTTTAATGTGAATCTATATATGACGTAGTATCTACTCACAGTTGTACAATTATGTAAGAGCGATAATAAATTAGATCATATGATACGATCGAAGGGCCCTCCGAGTTCAAATGTACCGAACGACATCGATGCATGATGCAAAGCTCTATACTCTGAATCTCAGGTATGCCATTAGAAGCGCAGAACAACCGGTCACTGAACGCAAAACATCAGCGTCCCAGCCTAAAGCTAAGCATTTAAATCTGCACATACCGAATCCAACAAGATACTGCAGCGTCGTTGCCTAAACACCCAAGGGTTCAGTAATCCAAGCTTCGTCGAAAAAAATTAAGAAACACACCTTCGATTGCTGAATCGTCGTCCTCAAGTTCGCAATCTCCTGTTCGATTCTCGCATCCACCTCCTTGATCTTGAGCTCCTGCCCGCTGCTCTCATCCCGCATCCGTCCCTTCTCCAAATTAAGATCCAGTCGAACGCCAGCCTGCGTACGCGTGATCTCCTCACGCAGTCGCTGCTTCAGCTTCTCCATATCCGCAACCAAGCGGTCATTATCAGACTTCAAAGAAGCGAGGTCGTTCTTCTCAATAAGCTGCAGCTCGGATTTCAGCTGTGCGAAATCGACTTGTTGGGTGTATTGATGCTGGAATGGAAAGCGTATAATACGACGAATGAGAAATGCGCGGTCGAATTGCCCCATTTGTTGAGTCTCGCAGTACCGCGAAAGGCAGTGGTGCGCTCACCTTCTCCTGTTGAGCTTTCGTAACCATGTTGCTTGTCATGTTTCGAATGCTCTCGTCGATGACCTCTGCCATGGCACCCATTATGCCTTCTGCTTGCGCACGGTTGAGACCTTCGCGCTCGAGCCGCTGCACGAAGTGGTGGGTGTCGAAATGGAAGTCACGCACCGCGTGCGATGCATGGAAGGATCGGGCAAAGGCGGATGACCCGGAGCGAGAGAACCTGGACTTCGACGGACCAGATGCATTGATGCGAAAAAAGAGCGTATAATTGTATGATGGAACCGAGCGATTAGCAGGTCTGAATGTTCCTGCACGAAAAGAGTGGGCGAAGCGGGTGGTGGTAGTGCTCATAGATATGTGGAGCCGCGTGGGAAAACTAGCATTGCAAGAGCCGGACCCGAACTTGTGCTCAAATTGTTTACCCTTGCTCTCCTGCTAGCATCCTAATTCGTGTTGTAACTGTTTGTTAAGAGAATTTGGAATAGTGACCATGTCAACGAGCACAAGCCCCCATGCTCACCAACATCAGCATGCTCAAAGCACGAGTCATAATCCTTGGGGAAGCACAAGTGGCACAGGTCCCCTCGGTACGTCTCTTACTGACACCTTCGGGCAGTCCAGGACGCATTACCAGCCAGGCTACATGATGGTACGCTTGTCCTACCTCCTACCACCTTAACTTCTCAATATGATTCATGCAGTCCGTAGCGCAACATAATGTAGGTCGCCGTTCACAGTGTTCAGAAACAGGACTGATGCATCAGGTGCATAGGTCATGTCCCCCAGCGCACAAAATACAGACGAAATTCCCGTCGTGCAGACCAAGGCAAAAATAAACAAGGGTCTGTCGCGTGGAGCCTCGCATTTTGGTGCCGAGTCGATGTTTGAGAGTTCGAGCACGTACGTTTACGTTTTATTCTTATTCTATTATGTTAAAGTCGATTTGTCGCAAGGCAAAGACAAGCGTTCACGGACATGGACGCGCCACCGACCAGTTCAGTCAATGATATATTCCGTGAGGGATCTTCTTTCGGCGAGTCTCAACGGGCAGTTCTCCCCCCTTCGCGCGTACGTCCCGTCCTCACTTCTGATTCCCTTCAATTGATTGTTCTCGTATTCACAGCCCTTCTCCCTCTCAAACTCTTCCTCTACGTTGAACATCTCCCAGTCTAAAACCCATACGCAATCAAGCACTCCAAACCAACCGACCTACATAATTGTTTTTGGCTATCCACCAGACAGATATTCCCTCACCGTTGAATATTTCCGCTCGCTTGGCGCAAGCACCGAACCAGAGCCTAATACCGAGATTGTGAACGCGTTCAGAATCGGATTCCGTGACCCTGGAGAAGCTATGCGTGCAGTCAGGAGAAATGGGGAGGTCTTGGGGGGAACTTGGATGGTGGGCGTTAAATGGGCTGTAAGATTATTTTTTTTCGATGTCGAGCGGCGTGCTGACTCTTACGATGCATGAAGGACTCTACTCAGGACCCCCGCGGACCTGATTTCTCGGCATCTACTTCCCCACCACGGGCACAAATTCAGACTTCACAAGTACAAGCGCATACGGACGGGAATGCGATGGTGGTGGATAGCGCTGCTACTGTTGGGACGCCGATCAAGCTTGCGCCGTCTGTGGCTGCATTCCGTAAAGCTCCTGCGCCGGCACCCCAGAAATCTGCGCACGCCATGCCTGTACCAGTTGTTAATGCGCAACAGAGTCCTGCGAAGGGCGTGTTTGGACAGGTTGGGGATCTGTTATTTGGGTGGTAGTCACATTCGTACTCTGGTATGAGTGCGCTTTTGTTTTTGTGATGTCTGCAGATGCATATATATAGATGCGTCTTTGAATTTCGTGGATGTGATTAACTTGCGAGGTGTTTCACTGAGACAGACTAACATAGGTGCTACTACTACTAAGGACAACCGAAATGTGCGCCCCACTATGCATGACCAGCGGCAGAAGGTGCAATCGACATCAAGTTACATACATACTATTTACGATTCGCTTATTTGTATATAAAAGCTGCAAGCCTGCTGAACCCATCGTCCAACTGTAGGAAGATATGAACAAAGGTTCAACACGCATGCGGCAAATCCGTATATTTAGGAAGAGCGATGATGTTCACCTGGCCGCGTGAAATCACGATCGGAAACTCACGTCTGGGTTCTTGAGGCTGATTCAGAATGCCGACCTATCACTTGGGCCGCTATGCGGGGGGCCCTCCTGCCCCATGGGATGCGATGAGAGATGGGAAATCAATGAAAGGTCAAAGAGTGCATACATCATTCCACGGTCGGGAGTGTTTTGCAGCAGTGGCCTGCTATTCGAGAATAATGACCTGATGTTGATGGAGCCATAGAATCTCTTGTGGCTGTCGTGACTTTTCTCGACTGGAATGGATCGGTGTCGTCGTGTTTTCGGGCCAGTTCTGACGGGTCTCTCAATTTGGGCGTAGGGAAGCTTTGATACAATTGCGGAAGATGTAGCCTGAACATGTGCGCAGCAAATATTTGGAAGGTAAAAGGCCTGTAGGGACGAAATAGACGAACGAAAGACCATTACGATCATCCGCCTATATAGGCACGGGATGTGCGCATCCACTATAGCACGCGGCGCAGGCTTGAGTCGAATGTCTTACGAATGCTTTCAGTACTCTCGAATCGTGATAACGAAAGTTCAAATATGTGATTGTCAGAGCCGAGCGCTGATGGGCCTCCCATAGTCAAGCCAGTCAAGACTCGTGTAAGTGAGACAATCGTTGAGGAACCTTGTTGTGGCCGTCCTGACTTTTCTCGGCTGACATCGTTGTAAATGCGATATTGACGGGAACGTCAGTCAGCACCCTGACGGTCAGTAAGATTAGAGAACCGGTGAGAAGATGTTGTCATATATCTTCATATATAGGAAAGGACTCTGTTAGCATCAGAATATAAAGCAATGCATGGCAATCAGCATAATTACCAGCAAGAACTCACCGGTTCACCGATTTGAATGGCATCTGACGATGTGCAGTCAAGTGTGTAGCGTAGAGGCACCATGACACCTCACACTCTATGAATGCGAAGACTCAGGGACGGAAAACTCGTGCATTGTAGGAGACTAGTTACAAAGGAGTCCACTCTATGACGGCGAGGTATGCGTTGGGGGAATTCTGCGTACTATGTACTGGATGCGACGGGCCCAGTGGACCAGGAAATCAAAAAGAGACCTCTCGTCATCATGAGCCACACGCGAGCGTAATTTCCATTTACTGAGACCCTGACGCAGAACCTGGAATCGAGAAAAAACTTCGTCCATGTTCGGACGTTGCGTTGGATCCGAGTGCATCATATCCGTTGCCAAACTGCGCAAGAATTCCACACCTAAGTAGCGCTGTTTCGTCCAAATCAGAGTATGAAAAATGACAAGCCACTGCTACACTTTACATCGAGAAATGTTTCTTGAATAGCATGCCCAAGATACCAAACATCAGTTGGGAAAGGGTTCCAAGGTTTGGTGTAGGCTTCCGCAAACTCTGGCACCCCTTTATCTCCGCCATATATGGGGATTTCTAGTGGATTGGTATTGGATGCATCATATTTGCGGGAAATGCCAAAGTCAATGTAATAATATCGTGGCGGACACTGCGTGCGTGTGCGATGCCTAGCCGGGCGTTTGAAGTCCTCGGACATATATTGTTCGCTTGGATGCCATGCGTCTGTGTACATGCTGCCATCCATCAGTATGTTTAGCTGCATGCAGTCCCTTTGTCCAGGTCATGAGACCAAGTCGCTCGAGCAACTACTAGGTTACGTACCGGTGAGCGACGTGATATCTGTGCATGAAGCGCAGCCCCTTCGAAGGAAAGAAAAAAAGATGAGTCACAATAAGTCAGTAAGTCAAGACCTTACCTCCAAAAGTTGGTGTATACAGTCTACCACTTCCCCGACCGTGTCAAAATAGGGATCCGTGATTCTTCGAAGTAACGGCATGACAATTATCGCAAGAGAATTGTCGTCGGGCACCTCCAAAACGGCGTATATTGGCACGCAATGGTTGGCTGGATCTTCACTAAGAGGAGCGCTACAGAAATAGCGACCAATTTCTATTTCGTAAGGGTGTCGCGACACCTCTATAAGTTTAAGTGATACGCGAGCGCCGTCTTGAGTTCGCCGTGCATCTAGCAAAGAATGGTGCTAAAGGATGCATTGTAGTCAATCGACATTGCGTTATAGAAGTACTTACTCGTGGCATGATTCCATCCTCACATTCTATGTCATCTTTCTTGGTATTCGTCCAAGAGGGCACCCAATCCGGACTGTAGCGACTCCGTAGCTTATAGCCCTTGTCTTTGAAGAAGTCGTAATGGTCCCTCCACCAAATCTCAAACTCAGAAAGATGCGGATGAGCAGCAGAGGTTGAGTCCATCCTGCTGTCTGATCAACTCAGCGAGGACAGAAGAACAAATATAGACAAGCAACTAGGCAATTCGGACCCCGGCATCTCGCGGACTTCAATTTAGAACCCAACTTACCTTTACATGTCAAAGCGGCAACACACAACAATTCATATCTAGCACAATATCTGCAAAGTCCCCCGATAGGAAACTTTTGTACTTACCCGAATGACGAAAATATTCAAGTTCTATCTCATCGATATTTATATAAATCAATTACATGATTTCTCTCAAGTAAGCTCTCAGATCTCAAGCTCAAGCGCCAACAGTCACTTTCGCTCACTGGCACCGCCAGTTGCCATGTTCGCATGACCTTTTTGTGGATAAATTGACTTGTTCTCCACGCTTTCACCGCTCACATCAGCCCCTTGTATATAACTAAGGCAGTCAGCGCGACACCGTGACATTATAGCTCCCATCATTTTTAGTGCCCACCAATGGATCCCCCAACGACCCCCGAGCCGAAGACAAACTATGAAAAAGGCGAGCATTATCTACAATTATCGCTGGAAACCTTGGAGGAGCTTTCCAGCTTGTCGAAAGACGAACGTCTTTCAGAAAGTCAAAAAGCTTCCTTCGACAAAGCTTACAGGGCTAGCAAGACTCTATCCGAAGAGTAGGCTTTTCATTCGACCAAACAGTATTGCTTATCAATCTCCGCAGGACGATAAAGATCAGAAACAAACTGTTGCCACCAAAGAAATCTTTTCACAAGTTTCTTATCAATCTTTTCATCCGCGAGTCAAGGGGGAAGCGTTTTTACAAAGTCGCATATGAAAATTATTCATCCATCAGAGTAAGTTGACTGACCCCATGACAAACCCCTTAGAATTGCAGTTGAATTGCAACAGAGAACCTCGGATGACCTGAACAGAACATTGGTGTCAGAGATTGGTGCACTCTTGGGTATGCCAAAAACCAAAAGAAATTTCTCTTACTGACTTTATATCAAAGGTGAAGAGACTCGGACTAGAGAAACTAAGGGCGAGAACAGAACTCAGTCTTGGTTCAAAAAGACTCAAGGGTAACTATGGACCATACCTAAGGGCGAGAACAGAACTAGTAGAGTAGTAGTTAGTAAGAGTAGAGTAGGGATGTCAATAAGATAGCTCACCTCAGTCTTGGTTCAAAAAGACTGAGGGAGATTGTTCGACGAGAGGAGGAATTAATACGTTTGATTGGGACGGAGAGTCAATAGGAAACGTGTATGACGCATGGTAGGAGGAGTGTTCGTGTATGTAAAATGAAAAGGCTAAGTACGTGTAAGGGTCATATCTTGATACTCCCACTCGAACGCAAAACGCTAGAGACGCGGGCGTGCTCATTCAACTGGGTCTTCGTTTGACGATGAACGAAGAGCAAGCGAGTGTCGATGGTTGCGGAAAAGTTTTCGTGGTAGGGATTTCGTGAAGATGTCGGCAATCATATCATGTGTGGGTACATAGGGAATGATGATGGTGCCGTCGCTGACCAGATCTCGAACGAAGTGATAGCGGACGCGAATGTGCTTGGCCCGGTCGTGGAATTGAGGGTTTTTCGTTAGTGCGCGACTTCCATTGTTATCACCATATAACGTGGTGGGGGTGATCAGCGAGAGGTCAAGACCAAAATCGCATAGCAGCTGGCTGAGATGGATCTGTTCGCGGGCCGCGTTAGAGAGTGAGATGTATTCAGCTTCAGTAGACGAAGTCGCAACGACGGATTGCTTTTGGGAACGCCAACTGATGGGGGAACCGAAAAGAAAGTAGACATAGCCCCCAATTGAGCGACTGTCGTCTTTATCAGACGCGAAGTCAGAATCCGAATAACCGATGAGTCCTTGGTTGGACAAACCAAACGTTAGGGAATGATGTGTGGATCCACGAAGGTAACGAAGGAGATGGTGAAGCTGGCGGTAGTGGTCTATGCCAGGGTTACTCAGATATTTTGACAGCGCCGATACTGCATATGCAATATCGGGACGACTAACGCGCATGGCGAAGTTGAGTTCCCCAACGACACGCGCGTATGGCATGTGCGCAAATTGTTGGATTTCGGCTTGAGTGAGGGGTGCAGATGACTTCGTCAAGGAGATCCCTGGAACCATGGGGGTAGATACTGGTCGACAATCTGACATCCGAGTTTCACTGAGAATCTGTTCGAGAAAGGAGGATTGGTTGACGGTAAGGTGCTTCTTAGAGCGATCTCGTGTAATGTGCATTCCTAAGAAATGACGCGCTTCACCAAGGTCCTTCATTTCAAAACGTTTGCTCATCTCCGATTTGAAACCGTTAAGGAAATCCCGACAGTTCGATGCGAGCAACATGTCATCGACGTAAACAAGGAGCCAGATGGTCTTGTCATCTTTTCGTAAAACATACAGACTATAGTCTGCTTCGCTACGAACAAAATTAAAACCTTCTTTTCGCAGGAAATCATCGAGTGTCTTGTTCCATTGACGACCGGCTTGCTTGAGTCCGTAGATGGCCTTGAGGAGTTTCCAGACCCAATCTGGATGCTCAGGGTCTTCGAAGCCTGGAGGTTGACGCATGTAGATTTCTTCGTCAAGCTCGCCATTGAGAAAGGCGGTCTTCACGTCCATTTGATCAAGTTCAAGATCAAACTTAGCGACCATGGAGAGTAGTGCACGTACGGTGTCGTATTTTGCAACAGGAGCAAAGGTGTCGGTGTAATCTAGTCCTTCGATCTGTGTGAAACCCTGCGCAACAAGGCGGGCCTTGTGGCGGGCAATCTGGCCATTTTCGTCATACTTGTGCGAGTACACCCACCGTGAGCCGACTGCTTTTCTCCCTGATGGGAGTGGTGTTAAGACACCCACTCCTTTTTCTCCCAACGAAGCTAACTCTTCATTCATTGCGCTTTCCCAATGACCCGAATCCATTGACAAGCGAGCGGCAGCTATCGTTTTGGGGGGAAGCTTCCGTCCATCAATCTTGTTGCTGTCCGCCAAGGATACATGCTTCGCGGAGTGCTCAATGGTGACATCGGGGGTAGCACTAATACTAAGATTTTCTTCTTCAACAACCTCCTCCTCAACAGTGACCGGTACATAAGTCCAACGCCGCTGTACTGGGACATGTTTTGTTGGGATGGCAACAGTTTTCGGGACTGCTGGTCGCGCGTCAATGCGTTGACGTGTCGAACGTCGTGGCTCAGGAGATGGTACCGTTTCTACCGGAACTTCAGCAGGGACAGGGAGAACATTGTCGTTCGACTGCGGGAATGGCTGTGGAGGTTCGGGGATGAGAGGAGCAGAAGTCGGAAGTACTCCCACTGAAATGGTACTGGGTCCTGGTAGTGTAATACCGGAATCATCTTCTCCAGGTCGTGTGGTTCTGAAGCCGTCTTCTGATATCGGCAAATCATGTGGCAATGCGAGGGTGGGCTGCTGCATTGCAATGCGCTGGTTGTGTAATTCAACGAGGGGCGAGAGAACTGAGTTGGGTGTGCCGTAGAAGAATTTTTCATCAAAAAGGACATTTCGAGAGCGCACCGTCTGTCGTGTCGCTGGATCCCATAGAAGATATCCCGCATCTTTGACGTGCCCCAGTAGGAAGCACCGTCTCGAAACAAAGTCGTACTTGTGGCGATTGTCGTCTGGGATGTGAGCATATGCGAGGCAGCCAAACGGACGTAGGTGCGAGACATTTGGTAGTTCACCATAGAAGAGTTCAAACGGCGTTCTGTTGTCAGTAGCTGACGACGGGAGGAAGTTCTTGATGTATACTGAGTTGAGGATGGCGTGGCCCCAGAACGAACGAGGAAAACCACTCTGGTGATGGGCACTTAATGCTCGGGTGGCAATGGTCTGGTGTCCACGTTCGGCAACACCATTCTGTTCGGCTGTATGAGGCATCGTAAGTTCGTGCTCAATTCCTTTACTACGCAGGAATTCAATAGTAGCGTGAGAGACGTATTCGCCACCGTTGTCACTGCGGAGGCGTTTAACTCGTTGCCCTGACTGGTTTTCAATCCAGGCGATATATCGCAGAAGGTGCGAGTGTACCTCACTCTTGTGCTTAATGAGGTAGATAGTGGAATAACGCGAAAAATCATCAGTGAAGGCAACAAAGTATGTTTCGCCGGACGGGGTTGCAGTGTTGACGGGTCCCCAAACGTCAGTGTGAACAAGTTCAGCGACGTGCGTTGCACGGTGTCGAGCATGAGACGGGAACGGCAATCGTTTTTGTTTGCCCATTAGGCACGACGGACAGTCAATGTGGTCACCAGGTCCTGTAGACTCGTCTAACAGGTTAAGTGACAGTCCTAATACAACCTTCTCAGCTTTGCGCAAGGTGGAGTTTGCGGCATGGCCCATGCGTGCATGCCATACAGCTAGTGGTAATGGCGTAGCCGAGGTGGACCTGGTGGCAAAGGCCGTATGGGTGTGCTTGGCTCGAAGGTAGTATAGACCGGCAGAGCATTCCACACGTGCGATCACAGTCTTATCAGCACGACGCATTTGTCCTCCTTCAGCATCCGTTTCGAAGAAAATTCCCTCCGACGCTAGAGCAGACACTGATATCAGTGTGCACCGTAGGTCTGGTACGTGGAGGAAAGGGAGTTCGATAGACTCATGTCTTCCGTCGAGCACTAGCGTGATGAATCCCCAACCTGGGGCAAGAACAGTATCGTCATTCGCAAGTTTCACGATTAATGGAGGGTTGTAAGTTCTGTAGCGAGTGAAGAGGGAGTGATTGGGTTCCATATGTGCGGTGGCGGCAGAGTCTACGTGGAATTGAAAAGAAATAGTGCTCGTATTAGAGAAACTAGCAGAGTGTGTAGGAAGACGAAGAAACGATGGAATGCCGTCAGGTTGTCCTGGTAGGGGAACTGATATGTCAGTACCTTGTGAAGGTGAGGGGGGAATGCACGCTGACGTGTTTGATGAGTCGGATTTTGCTAGACGAGCACGGCAGTTGTTCCAGATATGGCCTGTGCGCTTGCAAGATCCGCACGTCGAGCGCCACGACAACTCCCATTTATCTCCCTTGGAGGCGTCAAAATCCTTCGGTTTGGCACGCTCAGTAGGTTTACCTGCTTTCGCCACCCTAGCAGCCATGGCTGTGTGGTGCGCATGTGGGTTTGCAGAGCCGAAACTTGCATAATATTGTTCCGAGTTCCTGATCTGGCTGATGACTCCTTCCAGCGTTAGCTTCCCGGTATTGGCGTCAGCACTATGGAGTATGAGCTGGGAAAGCGGCGCATAGAAGTCGGGAAGGGCACGCAGTAGCGCTTGGACAAGGGTATATTCGTTGCACTTCCATTCGATGGATTCAATGACCTTGAATTGGGCCTTGATGTCCGTGATCTCCTTAATGGTCTTGGTAAGAGAGTCGCTATCAGATGCTTTGGGAAGGTCAAAGATACGGCCCATGAGGCTCGTAAAGCGGATGCCAACAGACGCCTGATACTTGTCTTCTAGCGCTTTCCAGATGACGGCTGGATCAGTGACACCCATGAAGTGGATGAGGTCACTTGAGTGTACCGTCATACCAAGGAGTCCTTTGGTTATGCTTTGGCGTTCTCGGAAAGAAATGACGTCCGCGCTCGCATCATGTGCCGCGAGGCGTTTGTTGAAGTCAGCCTCAGTCTCAGTGGTGCTTCTGGTTGGGCGCGGAGGACCCTTCTCATCTCCTGAAAGGAGGCGCCAAAGGTTGAAGAGCGAGAGCCAAAGGTCCATGGTCGTTACCCACGAGGTGTAGTTGGAGCCATTGGCGTCCAGAGGAGGGTGAGGAAAAGATGTTGGAATCCGGATGTTGGACGACGATATGGTGGACATGACAGGTGTCGAACGATGTGTCGGCGATGGCGACAATAGAATGGGAAGATTCAATGGGTGTGGTAACGAGCGAGTTGGTACGACAGGCGTTAATGGCGGCGATGGCGGCAAGGGAATGGATAAGATCCGCAGGTCAAGCGGGGATAGAGGGCGACCTTGTTCCAGTTCGGAAAAGGTCGGAGAGGCTCAGATAAGGCGAGTGGAAGCGAGAAACGAATGTATGCCTAGTCTGAGCCAGGGCTCATAACCTATCAAAGGTGAAGAGACTCGGACTAGAGAAACTAAGGGCGAGAACAGAACTCAGTCTTGGTTCAAAAAGACTCAAGGGTAACTATGGACCATACCTAAGGGCGAGAACAGAACTAGTAGAGTAGTAGTTAGTAAGAGTAGAGTAGGGATGTCAATAAGATAGCTCACCTCAGTCTTGGTTCAAAAAGACTGAGGGAGATTGTTCGATGAGAGGAGGAATTAATACGTTTGATTGGGACGGAGAGTCAATAGGAAACGTGTATGACGCATGGTAGGAGGAGTGTTCGTGTATGTAAAATGAAAAGGCTAAGTACGTGTAAGGGTCATATCTTGATACTTTAATCTGTTACCCAGCATCAGGACACCTCAGGGTGACTGGACAAGGCAACGAGGCCGTTAATGAGGAGAATCTGCGTAATGCGGTAGGAGGTATGGATCGTCACATCGTCTGAGAGAACACTAAACATATCTTTGATCAAGACAATCCTGGTCGGCGTGAAGATTCTCTCCTACATGAAGAGGATGGTTCAATTAGGAGTCCGCGTGATGTAGTAGAAGGTACGTATCGTCATATCCTATGATAGAGCATCAGACTCATATCCGATCAACAGGTCTGTATGAAGATTCTGTCCCTGCCATATCTCACATACAGCGGATTAGCCGAAGGTCTTTCTTCAAACGAAAACACTCAAGACATACATCTAGATGTACATACAAATCAAGATCAAGAAGAAGTCATTGCGATATTGGATCGACTTGGAATCAATTTAGATGATAGTGGTGGTGATGACGATGACGATGACGATGACGATGACGATGATGACGATGGTAGTGCCACTGGTATGTTTTCAAAATCATCACCCATGATATAACTCAACGGGATCCTTGATATCTCAGCCATACCTTCAAGTAGAGCGCCATCTCTTCGCCCCAGCTTGTGCACAATCAATATTTTTATCAACAAAAGCGTGGTGTCTTTTGATTCAGAATCGACAGGAGCAACATTGAATGTCGGGGCGAATGAAGGTTTGTCGTGTTCGCTGCTGATGTCAACCCATGATACTTAATGACGATGATAGGGGTCGGCTTTGGATACTAATAAGCTAACGTCTCAGTTGGATTGACGCGTTCTATATTATGTCTAGTCGGCAGTGTATCAGTAATATATTATTGATTGGGCATTCGTGGGTCTCCAGCTAGAAGTATCGCAATTACGTATGTACTTCCAACGTCAGTTCAAACTCCGGCAATGATGTATTCACACAAATTGTCACGGTCCCAGTTTCTATTCCGCGAGGCCTTGGTTCTAGCATGGTTTGAAATTTGAAATGACACAATAATGTCCTTGGCATGTCAAGTATTTGTATTTTGACTGGGTGTTGGAAAACAAAGTGTCACTGATCTGCCGCGTGATGGCATCACAATCTGTTCCTTGTTTTATGGTTACTTCTGGGTAATATTGTTCTCCAATGGGGTTTGTCTTTTATACATGCATTGCCTAGTAATTAATATCAATTAATGGTTGAGCCCCAGTGAAGAATCGAGATAGCAAAGATGCATAATCGCAAAAAAAAATGCAAAGTTCAATTTTTTCAACATTGCAAAGTTGACTTTGTGTCACAAGTACCTCATATGAACCACTATTCTTTTCTGAACTCTAAATCATTTAAGCGCTCTGAGAAGGTGCCCATACGTAGTAATCTATTTACAGTTGAAGAAGTTCCCTCTATTGCATCTATTGTAGAATTACCAAACCCACCCATGATTGAATCATGTGACTTATCGGAAGATGCTGGTCTTGATGACCTCATATCACATGATACTCTTGGAAGGTTCCAGAGTCTGTCGGTTGCTGCAGCACGTGTTATGACATCATAATTATATATAGAATTGTACAATACTTTCATTTATTCTGATTGGTAGTTAGGTTCAGACTCAGTTTAGTCTCCGACTTAATGTATGTATATAGGTAGCAGGTTGTAGTTAGTAGTTCTTTAGTTCAAACCTCTTGTCTGTACATTACTTGTACCAGCCCAGATGTACCTGCTCAATTCTACTCTTTTATTTGTTGCGATTATCTTTGTTTGAGTCCTAGTCTCTGCTCAGTGTTAATTCGTTATTGGGTTGTGACACTTTGCAGTTTGAGCAAATGTTAGCAAAAAACAGTGCAAATTTGTCAATGAAACTTCGACTTTGCACCTTCTAAGATCGAGATTGCATACACACTATCTACCATCTAGATTGCAAAATGCATTACCACGAAGCTGGTATACACCAACTTGAAGACAGCACAAATGCATATGTCTGCAACTGCGCTTCCTGCCTACTCAAAAATGTAGGTAAGCCCAAGCAAGTACACCACAACACATACTTCAAACATAAAACCGGCAGACTTGCCATACCATCATATCCTACTACTTCTGTTCTCAGCACTGGCAGCTCACGACCTCCAACTCCTGTAACAACCGGACCCTCTTCAAGTAAACACCCTCTGGATGCACCCGACAATGAGGAACAAACCAGCAAGAAAGGACACATCCAAAATCCCACTGTGCCATTTTCGATCGAGGACGAGTCATCTGATCTGGTCATTGATTGAACAGAAGAAGGTATGTCACCAATTAATATCAAAGAACTGGTTCGATTCAAATAATGATATCATACAGATCTACATATTGATGAGACTTGAGTCAAGCACGTTCCTGACCACGACTTTGTGCCAGAGGTTGATGATCGCAACCAAGACTATGGTAAGTTTATTCTTCGTACTACAATCATGATCAAAATTAATGGTATTACATAGATCTAGATGCATATGAGCATATGGACAACAATTTCGGGGGTACTAGTACAGGGCGCGAGGAAGCAGAGGAAGCAGAGGAAGCATAGGGAGGAGAAGAAGCAGAAGAAGGAGGCCTCGAGGCAGAGAATATTGAGGGCTTGCGTGGGGATATGGACCCTGATCATGATCATGATCAAGCAGATATTGGTCCTGCGCAGACTATGGGTTGGACCGACGAGGACTTGGAAGAATTACACTGTATGTCACAACTCGGAGATGCACAGGATGCAATGACTTTCATAAACACCTTATGACAAGCCTCACTTGACAACATACACTCCCAATTATCACCAGACACATTAGATAGGCTTCGAAATCCTCCCTGTGCACTCCCAGATACCACAGATCCCGACCTCATACAATCATTAAAATTTTACTTCGCTGATACGACTATCAAACAATACAATTCTATTCGTGATGCTTCTATGGAATGGTATCCCGACAACGACATATACAGCTACTATTGAGTGAAGCAAGCCATTGGTGAACTTAGTGGTATCGAGCCAATTATTAATGACATGTGCATCAATACATGCCTCACATTTACTGGTCCATATGCCGACCTCGATCATTGTTCCAGATGCGGAGAAGATCAATGGGATCAAAAAAAGAGCACACCTCAGAAGAACATACCTTGATAAACATTTGACACTTTTCCTGTCAGTCTACAGCTCCAGGCCCTATGGCAGCATCCAGACCAAGCAGAGAAGATGCGATGGCGCCAGGAGTACACCAACAAGATCATCAATGAATTGAAGACAACCGACGGCATTCCAGAGGTATATGAAGATATCCTTCATGGGAAGCAATATCTGGATGCGTGCCAATCTGGCAAAATTAAAGATGGTGATGCGGTTCTGATGTTCTCAATCGACAGAGCACAGCTCTACGAATCCAAACAATCTGACTGTTGGATATATATTTGGGTAATCTTCAATCATGCGCCAGATGACTGGTACAAGAAGAAGTATGTACTCCCAGGTGGTATCATCCCCAGCCCAAAAAAACCCAAGAATCTAGATTCTTTCATTTTCCCCGGCCTACACCATCTTCATGCGATCCAGACTGAAGGGCTACCAATCTGGGATGGCGCAAAGAAGACTCTATTCAGATCTAATCCCTTTCTCTTTGTTGCAACAGCAGATGGCCCCAGTATGTGTCAGAAATTTACGAAAGCGGCTGCAATCATGTGCTGTTGATGTGCCGTTTACATACCATTTGAATCCATTGCAATGACCCCTGAAATGACAAGGTAATTTGATGGCTGAGTTTCAATCTATTCCAAGGCTCATAACGTGCAAAGTGCCTACCATCAATGCCTGCACCCCCCATCCTCTTGCTCTATCAATGCAGCCCTATTCCAATTCTATTTGTATATAACTGTCAACTTAGTGGTCCAGAACGTACAAAGCATTGTGATTTGTGCAATCAAGTCATTAAGCCACGAGGTTACACCACCCACCGAAAGTCCTGTGAGACGAAGGCTGAAAAACGACGTCGGGATCAGCTTATTGTGGATGGCATTCGTCAGGAGAAAGGTACATCTCCAATTGTTTTATTGTTGTCTTGCACGTTGTCAAAGCTAATGTTATCTACAATACTATATTATAGCGGCTGCAGCTGCTGTGACAGCCCAGGGTTCCTCGTTGGTGAGACTCGACAAGAATCAGTCAGGTAACATATCAAGTGAGTTATGGTTACATTTTAGTATATTATGTGCTCACAATCTCAGTTGAACCGCACCATCATGTGGCACCATCACAAATTTTGGACGACATAGACTTTGATTATGGTGATCCGTCAATTCAGACCAGTAAGTTGACATGTGAATTTATTTTTCTTATGCTAACACTATCTAATACAGATTCTCCTATACTCAATGAACATGAGCCTGTGGACGTATTCCCCACCCTCAATTGTGACGACATCAAAGTTGAGTATCACCCAAGCAGCGGTATCGCGACCAGCATACATGGATTTGATACCTTTGAGCGTCGTCCTACTGCAACCTCTATTACCCCGCCTGATGGACACCCTTGGCGTCCGTTCAAATCACGACTTGAATTCGATGTTGCCGAGCTCATTCTGGAGGTTGGGCTAAACAATGAACAAACTGATCGCTTCATCAAATTATGCCACAGATGTGCTATAGGGAAGGATAAAATGTCATTCAGAAACCACAAGGACGTTCATAACTTGTGGGAGGTGGCCTCACATCGTGTTGCAAAGGTGGGACATACTAATATTGAAATTTATGAGGCCTCTAACATTGTTTGAAGTACAGTTTACGAAGGAGGTGATTTCGGTTCCCTATGGTGGTGATGGAGCATCATGAGACTACGAGATACACTACTGGGACCTTTGGGACTTAGCCACTGACTTGCTCCGGAATCCCCGACTCTTTCCGCACTTTTCATTTGATGCTCATCGCTTTCAAAGTTTGATGGGACTGCTTTTGTTTGTTTCATTGATGAACCTTTCACTGTGCAGCACATTTGGGATATACAAGTATGTATTACTAGTGATTTAGTCATGTTTATATTTCATTGTATTCTATAGTCGCAACTCCCACCAGGTGCTAAACCATTGGCCTATATACTGTATGCGGATAAGACGAAACTATCCTCGTTTGGCACTGCAAAGGGTTATCTGGTGTAGGGATTCATTTCTGGCTGGGCTTGTAGAGACTGTTTTTACCTTACCTTATGTTGGCACTTTTGTAGCTTACATAATGAATCAATCTTTTCACCAGTTACCAGTATGAGTCTGAGTGCTCAGTAGTTTTCTATGATATTTCCTCTCCTCTGAGCCTTGAGTCTGGTCCAGAAACCCTTTAGGGTCGAATAGCAGCTAGGTTCTGCAAGACCCAACACATTGTTCAGACTCACCATCTGAATTGTTGTACCTTCACCGGTCTATGCTCGTTTAGCAAACCTACCAACCGAAATTCGAAATGGACGAGGCACCAGTGGTGGCTATGTGGTTGGGTGGTTGCCGATTGTATGATTTCTTTTCTCACTCGCTGTTAGTGCTTATGCAGCCTTAGTTGTAGTATTAGACCTAATATATATGGCCATTGCCAGTTTTGGTGTAGACACTTATGACGGCAATTACCAGCTGCACAATTTGACCTACAACGCTGGCATGTACCACTCGTGGCTAAGGCCTTGCTTGTAGGCATGCAATCGCCCATTGAAATATGCACCCCCAATATCCCCTGGAATATTCATATAATACAGATATATATTATATATACAGATACATAAAAATAGATACACATTACAAATATATCATATCTGATCAGTTTGCCGCATGTACGTACTAGAACCTGGACGCTGACCACACTTTCTTTCTTCACTGTATTCGACATTGCACAACCGTGACGATGGAGTGAGTTGTTTTTTACTTTTGATAGTTGGGACTCACTATATTACCCATAGAACAACCAGTCCGGCGCTGGACGACACACCTGTGGCGTTGTCCCCCAACCCATTGCCCAACCCAGATCCGACTCCCCCCACCCCAGCTCCTGGGACCAATAATGATGATCCCAATGCCTACGTCGACAAACTGTTTCGTCACTGGGCCAAAAATTCACGCCTAGCGTTTCTCAACAGCCATCTGGCCACTTACCGCGAACGCATCAATCGAGGCAAATCACAAGCAACCGACTATGTATATGAGGTCGTGGAAGAATATTTCAAACATTATCACTGGAAAATGAAGATATCGGACGAGCCTTTGGAAAACAATCCTTTGCAAATGGAGTTAGATGAGTCACTTTCCCCAATCGAACTGATGCAAAAATCGCAAAAAGTTCTTGCGATGCAGAAGGTAGGTGTTTTTACATGTATTTATTGATACATCTCTCAAAACTCAAGTAGGCGATCAAGAGCTGGCTAGAATATCGTGCTAAGTCCCCAAACAAGTTGATCGTACGCCGCGGCAAGCCGGAGAACAACGAATGGACTCGACTTCTCAGCCAGCTCTCTGGAGTACGAAAACAGAAGCCGAAGGCCTTGCAAGCCCACCAGCGATGGTCAAAAGATCACTTCAAGACTGAAATCAAGTCCCACTTTCTCAAAAAGTGGCATAAGGCTGGGCTACCTAGCAAGAAGATGGCAACCTTTCGTGATAGGATCACGCGCAAACGTTTCAAGAAACTGTCCAAAGAAGATCAGAAGCATTGGAAAGATACAGCGCAAGCTGAAGGTGAAGCTGCAGTGAAAGAATGGAATGATCGCCTTGCAGCTCCTCCTTCCACATCTCCCATCGATAGACAAGCGTAAGCATTCAAAATCTTTCATTTGTATCTGTATTAATAACTAATTCAGGGCTCTGGATAACCTCGCAACGTTTGCTGGGCTGGTTCTCGCTGGTATGGCCGAAATCCTTGGCATGCATGTCTCCCTTTTAGTCGGTGGACCTGAACCTCGCAAGCAAGGGAAAATTACCGTCGTTAGGTGTGTTTTTCGATGTCGTTCTGATACAAAACTAACATCACGCTTACAGTATGCATGAGGGCGTTGACTTAGGTCTCGCACCATGCAATTGGCAAACTCGAGATAAGACCAAGTTCAAAATGGTCACAAAATCGTTTCAAGAATACCTATCACACGCATATAATATGTTCTTAATTTCTATCACTTAACTTTATAACTTTATAATGAACACTGATCAGCCAAGCAGGACTGTGATTCCCGTCGCCTCCAGGACGATTTAGATGGCTTGTTCTCTATTTCGCAGGAAGGCAACCAATCTGACGCCGAAGAAGAACACGAAGCAACCAAATTGGCAACAGCCAAATATAGACCCAAGAAGAAATCAAAGCAGCAAGGTACGAAACAGCGACGTGCTTCTCGACGCAAGCCTTCTGAGGCTTCTGAGGCGGACGAATCGTCTTTGGAATCATCTTCCCCATCCTCCGGCTTGTCTTCATCTTCATCTTCCTTGTCTTCAACTTCATCAAGCTCCACCGATAGCGAAGATGAACATCAGGGTTCCAGACAGGTACTTCCATTTTCACCACCCAAGGGAAATCATGGTGTCACAATCTTTAATCCATGCCACCAGAAATTAGCTCTCCAACACCTTGAAGCAAGGAAGAAGGATCGCCTGGTCAACATGCCGTCTCCTGCATCTGAAGTACCAGATCATTTGTCGCAAGTGTCGTCTTGTGTGTCTGAAGTGCCGGATGACACTGAGGAAATTGACCAACTCAATGAAGACAGCTCCATTATTGATGGTAAGATAACCACTGATTGTCCTTCCAGCTCTATCTGTTGTACTACACTAATATCTCCTTAGGAATCACATCTGCTGCCATAATTGAGCCACCTGCTGCACCTTTCGACGACAATCTCATTGATCCACGTATCAGAGATGACCCTGTCATGGCTGCTAACCAACTCCCCAAGCCTATCGATAATCACGACATGGATGAGACACCTTCTGCCGAACGAGACACGGAAGGGGCTGAGGATAATCATGACAACCCTCTTAACATGACTCTTGACAAACATGTGGTTGACTCAAATCGGGTTACAGACGGTATGTAATTGATGCTTCTCATGTGTGCTATAAGTCATTCACGTTTACATACAGCCTCTCCTGGTGGCAACATATCGCTCAGTTTATCTACACTGACATCCAGCCCACCATGGTTCAGCGATCTGCTCCGGCAGTTGATGGACCCCACCCCAACTTCTCCTCAGCTGATACAGTTGTTTGACAAGCTGGTGCGCCTTGAGGATGCATCAAGCTTCACGAATGAGAAAGCCGCCTTGGGATGCAAACATTGTCCAGTCAAAGTCCACTGGTGGATTTCCCGTGGACGTAAAGGGAAACCAACCATACCTAATCTCGCCTCATTCATCATGCAATGGTGGTATTGGTGGCTAGTACTTCAACCGGAGTGGAGAAGCTGTCAGGCGCCAACACTTACGACATGTGCAATTCTCCCTCGCACAGATGACGGGAGTTTGGACTGCCTGAATAAACCAGGTGCAAACGGCATGCTCTCAGTCGTGGCTACATTGAAGTGGTGGGCAGACAACACTGATGGAAAAGACTCATGCTGGCAGGAGGCTGTAGACGACGTCATGTGGGTTTTGGACCGACTCATAGCAAGTCGTTCTGCGTTGAAGTCTATGGTTTCCGGTGGGAACAAGAAACGGGGCCGTTCTGATACTCAGGCCAACACACCATCATCGAAGAGGACGCGTAATCGGCAGTAATAGTAGCAACTCACAGATTGACGAATCGCTAGGCTACACATCGAATTTTTTGCTCGCTTGAATACATGTTACGTTGGACTACTTTTGTATCTTACATCAAGTCAATATGACATGCACTTAATGAATCTGACTTTCTCCTGCACTCGCTAGTAGATCACGGCAACAATGATATAATGTATTCTAAAAGCAGTATGTCCGAGTTAGACTCCAGGAGCCTCCAGTCCCAAGACTTTCTGGTACATGGTTTCCCCAAGTAAGTAGGCTTCATCGAGGTCACCCCAAACAGCTAGTCTGTAAAGATCTTCTGACATAGCTACCAGATGCCTGATGAAGCGAGAAACCTCGTCAGCAGCATGCCATTCATCACATACGCCACACATGTCAAAAATCTTATCCTGCCCCTGCTGTGCCCAGATCAAATAGGGCTCAACGTGCTTGACTGCATCCCCGAATATCTCAATATCCCCGGCGACACTGGTGCGCAATGACATTGCATATTTTTGAAGGACATCCTCGATGTTGTAGAAGAGGAATCTTGACTATAGGTGAAAACACTTAAAACAAATGGGTGCTCTATAGCAAGACCAGGATACGAGACAATGACTCGACCCAAAGGACAACCACTGAGAGAAGTTCCTCGAAATAAAAAATGGAGGGAGACTGTATGAGCTAGGCGGGCGCTAGCAAGCGCGAGAAGGTAACGTGCGTGAAGGTGCACGAGATGCGTGCGTGAGTGGGAGGTTCAAGAATGCGCGCGCACGAAGTGAAGGCGCGCCTAGAACATTAAGGGAAAGGTCCTATTTGAAGAGTGGATGCACAGATGGATGGTTGACAGGAGAATCAGATCAGATATCAAGTGAGGAGGTGATCTATACACTTTCCAGTACACAAAGATAAGGGGAAAGTAAGTACCGGAACCCCAAAGATTCCCTTCTCTATTTAAGAATGGAGATTACACTATGTGGCGCACTTCCGAGCGTGCTCCCGAACCGAGTAACCATATCAACTCTAATTATAACTAAGTTTAAATAGACTTTCTATATGTAGCGCGGATTTCGGACCGAAGATTTGTTAGTTCAATGAAGGAGATAGGAATAATGCACCAGCAAATCAGTAAGGACATGGGACGAATGGATGGACGATAGCGCGAAGACCTAGGAGGAGGCGCACAAATGTGCGCGCATAGTGCGAGTGCAGGTAAGGCGCGCTTAAGTGTGCGCGAGACTGGTCCTTTGGATTAGAGCTGGATCATATAGGAATGTATGGATAAAGGCCGGATACTCGGCATTGAGACACGCGAGTCTCTACAATGTATACTGTGGGTACCGCAGAAGGAACGATTTGCAGGACTTTATTCTTCGCATCGCGTACAAGCCTCAAACAGTCAGATAAAGTAACACTATAGTCGATCGATCATTAAGGATGCAATTTAATTACTGTTGAAAAGAAAACACACATTGCCTCGAAGTCAACCTCGTCATCCGACAGGTCATTCAGATTAGACTCAGCTGTGACGGAGGGTGTGCTGTTCGTGCAGCAGAGACGATGTCTCAATAAAATGATGTCTCGGTGCCTAAACACTTCAGTTGCAGGAGGAGAGGCGACAATAAAGATCAAACTTACTTTTCATAATGTCTCCTGCGTTTCTCACATGCGGCCTGCTGTTTGGCTCCAACAGTGCGGTGAATAGTGGGGCAAACCATGAGGAAAGATCGTGGGTGGAATGAAACGAAAAGAGCACCTTTATATAAGGTATTTTATTACCATAAATTGATGATCTGCGATGAGGGGTGATGTAGATAGTAGTATTTGTGAACTGAATGTAAATGCAAGGTCAATCAAGGGAAATAATGCCAGTGAATCATATCACTCACCAAAGATGCCCGCTTCAAGGTCTCAAGTCCATATTGTTCAATACACGGTGAAGTTAATTGAGCTACATAGACCTATGTTTCAGTCATCATCATTCGATGGTAGGACCATAACTTACCAGGCAAGTCTAAGCTCAGCGCACCAGCACAATTGCAAATGCGCAAATCAATTAACGACTTACATACTATGTGACTGTGTATTCTGTAAACTTGATGATTTAATAGCAGGATGCTAGATTAATCCGTGTTTCAGTGATATTGATTCGGTGGTAGGACCATAACTACTATGGTAAACTTGGAGTCCGAGTCAGCGCGCAAGTCCGATCATAGTACATCCATCAACACAATAGGCACATCAATGAATTACTAGTAATGAGCTACATACCAGGTCACTGTATTCTGTTATCTTAATGGTTTGCTGCTGATACAACTGCTAACTTCAATGCAGTGAGACTGAGATCACTGTCGAGGATTTCAACTAGTACATACACTGGCAATCATGATGATGATGTTGGAGTTGATCTCGGATCAACTGCACACTCTTACAGATCCAAAGCACTGTCCAATTTCAGATAAAGAAGGTAAATAAAATTTGTGTTGTTCGTTTTCACAAACGCTGAGCTTGAACATGAAACATATGCCATCTCACCGCACTTCAACATATGAGATTATGTAAGCAACAAGTACCTGCCTAGTAAGTCTGTTCATTGCATTGAACATTCACAACGTGTTGGAACTCATTGCAAATCAATACCAATCTCCAGCATTGTCGTACAATGAAGGTTTATAATCTGCAAGGGAGCTCGCGAACTCTCGTGAAGCTACTTCTGGGACCAAACGCAAACAGAGATGGGACTTCCCTGAGCCTGCGGACGAGAATGTTGACCCTAATAAAACTGATAAAAATGAATGGTCGAAAGAAGCTTTGGAAGCATCTGCACCGAAAAAGTGTCGTTCTCGCTGGGACGCTACTCCGGCAGAGGCTGTCAGTGAGACACCTAAGAAATCTTAATTTCTGTTGAACGAGCACTGACAAAATGTCACAGACAATGTTCATTATGTAAACGCGAAATACATGGCAAAGTGTAACTACTACTAACTCCACGTTTCGAGTACTAAACACTGAACTTGAAGAACAGAATATTCAACCATCGTTTCAACATATTTCAGAAGATTGGACGTACATGATCACTTGGAATCGATGACCGTCGTGGTGTCAGTGCCTTTGGTGGGAGTGGTGTTACTTGAAACTGCGGCCACAGCTGCCTCATATGCTTGAAGCCGTGTCTGGTAGTCCTGCTCTGCTTCTTCCACAATGACTTCACGGAGCATGGTGTGGAACATCTCATTCTTCGCCGGGTCGCTAACTAATAACTCTATAATGGAAATCACTACAAGCTTGACTAACAAGCGGGTGAGTGCTGGATTCTGTCAATGATGATCAATCTCACCACAGCAGGCAGGCATGCAAATTCGAGCTACTCGACTACCACACGGACCACAGATACTTTGAAGTGCAATCTCTGTGTGTCCACTCTGGAAGACATCCCTGATGTTGTGCAGAGTATTGCTGTCAGGTGAGGGTGGAGCTGTATGTGCGGTAGACATCTCAGGCGAGGGTGGAGGCATAGTAGTGGTGGACATCGCAGGCAAGGGTGGAGGCGTAGTAGTGGTGGACATGTCTGAGGGTTTGAATTTGGTTTGGTTCAAGTTCAACTATTTGATTATGGGCTTCAAACTATTTTAACAGGGTTTGGTGTGACTTGGGTGAATATACGCGAGGAGCCGAGCGGGTGATGAATCGACCAGGTACGTCCTGATATATTTACCTATCTACCAAACTGATCATCGGATACCCTCTTTTGTACAGGCTTCTTTCTTGAAGTGCTACAACTCAAGGGAGGAGGGAACTTGCTCGTGGGAGCGAGTGTCTACTGGTAAGCTCTAGTATTATTTTCTCTGAAACAAGCCTTACTCATGTCAAGGAAAAGAAAATATGTTGTGTACCGCGATGAATCCGACTCAGACGACCATGCGACAACAGCCTATGCCAGGATGATAGCAGTGTCAGCCGGTGGCCACAGGCAAATCATCATACCTTGCTCCCCAACAAAATTCAAGGCAGGTGATGGGCTGGAAGACCAACTTGAGCCCCTGCAAATGGACAATTGGGAGCCAACCCTTGGCGATGACTTTGTATTCGACGATGAGATTGAGCCCCAACCCATCATGGTGGTCAAGGTACCAGCAAAACACTATGCAAACTCGGTGAGATTCCAACAGACTTTTACTTCACAAACTCAACTCTTTATAGGATGCACCTTTGCATGAATGGATGGGCATTGTAGAGACTCGTGTGTCTCATGGTCTGATATGACAGCTTTACACCAGGAAGTACATAGCATGAACTTGTAGTGTCACTCTGTGCGCTACCCGCAGCTATCTCTATATGAGGCGCAGCTTTCCCGCGCAACGCGCGCCATGCGCGCACCATTCCCGCGCTTCACGATGTAGGCGCGCGCGCGCGTTCCCGCACTTGCGCGCCCTATAGCGCCAGCCATTCAGATGCATCCATCCACTGTCCACCAAGCTCCCTAGTACGTATATTTCCATTTCCTTTATTAGCATAGTTCCACCTTTATTTTTATCATAGTTTCTCACTCATATATATTTTTACATACCTACTCGGTAGCGCTTCGGCTCCGCATGACCGCGCTTAGGCGCGCTATATAAGCGCCAGCAGTACATACTACACTTTACCTTACTTTACCTCCCATTTACTTATTACTACTTACTTACTACTTAGCAGAACATAGTAGAACTCTATCTGTTTACACCTCGCATCTCTCTTCTCTTATCTAGTATCATATCATCACTTAAGTCTAACCTCTCTGTTGTTTCTGCATACGCACGCGCGCTTTCCCGCGCGCGTGTTCCCGCGCCTTGCGCGCACCTGTGCTTTCTCACGCTTCGCTTCAGCGCGTACCTGTAGATCTTCGCTGCACTCGCTTCCCCTATAGGGTCGAACGCACTTGCCATCTCAAGTATCGCAGACTAGGCAACGCACGACCTACAACATTTATAGATACAGCTAGGAGCTATCTTTGTTCCTGGCAGTATTGTTGTTTCTACAGCGTCAACGAGCGTGTCGGATTCCATGAAGAATATCTCCTTGAAGAGCTACGTCTGGAGGGCTGTGGTAGCTTAACAACGACACCATGCTCATGCAGCGATATCAATAATAATATTGTACAAGAATGCCTGTACCGCTGTGAAGATTGCTATGGACCAGAAATTTTGTGCAAGTCTTGTTGTTTATTAAAGCATGCACGTCATCCTTTACATATAATTTATGTGAGTGTTTCGAAGTTCTGGTTGCATTACCAGTTTTTTGATGATGTGCAGAAATGGAATGGGACTTATTTTGAGCGTAGTTCCTTGGCTGACATGGGCCTTAGGGTTCAACTAGGACACGAAGGAATGCCATGTTTGCGTCCGCAAAGAGGGCATATTTCTTTTGTCGTGATTCACACCAATGCAATCCACCGAGTAAACATCGATTTCTGTGGGTGCCATCAATGAGTTTCTCATTGCCAGCAATTGTTACATTGCAAATGGTATCCGGCCACACCACATTTTCCTCAGAGTGCCTGCACAAGACGGGTTCTGGAGTTCTTTCTCATTTTGGCATGGTCAAGCAAATTATCTGGCTATGAGTTCTACACTAGTCTCGAACGACTCACTGACAACACGGGTTTGAATGTACCTAAGGTATGTTATCACATGGCCTATGCCTCGCAAATGTTGACTGCAGTCACAGTCTCGGTATAAAGAATTTATGAGAATGGTTCGTCAATTTCGCCATATCAAACTAATGAAGCCAGCTGGCCATGGTAATATAACTGGTGGTATCTATGATACTGAGCCTGGTGCATTAGCCATCAAGTGTCCTGCTTGTCCGCAACCTGGCATAAACCTGCCGGAGGACTGGGACAAAGTGGAGGGATCAATGAAGTAGGCTTTTTTTTAATCCGCTGCATTTATTAAATGTCCCCTTCCTCATAGATTTCTTTACTATTTGATTATCACTATGGATGCCAACTTCCGCCTCAAGAATAGGAATTGAGCTTCTAGCATTGCCGATCCTGGGCTACACACAGGTCTTGCATACTTCGTTCCTGACAAATTTTACACAGAACACATACTCAAGAATGCAAGCCAAGCCGATGTAGGTTTTTTTAAAATTTTCACTTGTATTGCACAAAACTTACCAGAGACCTACCTATTAGATTAGCACTTGTTCGGGTTTCAAGACATTGGCGCACACTGAGTCCAAGTACTCGAATGGGTTGCGATCGACTGGCGTCGGCTTATGTCTTTGCGCACACCATGAACTTGTTTGACCTCAAGGAGTTGGAGACCTTCAAAAGGGCGAAAGGTATCTTTGTTTAAATTATGTGTATTCAACTGTCTAATGATGAACTTAGATATGCTAATATGGATTTCATCTTCTTCTCATCCATCATGCCTCTCCTCCTCCTCACTGTTGTCATATCTTATGACATCGCTTGCCAGTGGAAGCTCAATCTCATGAAGAGAATGAATGAGCTTCCTGAACACCTTCGGATGCCAGCAGCTGTCACCCTTGTGGCATTTATGTTCGGAATCCCGAAGTTTCACTGCCCTGCGCATGAGGAAAAATGTGCGATTCCGCATTCCTTGAACCTCATGCCAGGCATAGGACGGACTGATGGTGAGGGAATCGAACACAACTGGGCAGAGATGAATCGTGTTGCCAACAGCACGAAGGAAATGGGCGCCGGTTATCGACACGATGTCCTCGATGACCATTTTGGACATCACAACTGGCGCAAGTATGCTGGACTAGGTACGATTTTTTGTCTGCTCCCGCCCATACAATGACTCATTCAATTTACAGGACTCTCACTATGGAAAAAACTGCTAAATGCTGTCAAGGAGCAGGGTTGTCACCAATCATTTTTGCATGACTTTAATTTAGTGATTGACGATGCACATCGAGGAGAATGGACTGCAATGATCGAGGCTTGGGAACACGACAAATCAAGTCCGAATCCATATGTGCACATCAAGATTAGTAAGGTCTATCTGTACTTTGGAATTTTTTGTTGAAGCTGACTATGATTCAACAGGCCTTTCAGAAGCACAAATACGTGCTAATCTTACGGACGATGAGAAGATTTCTATCAGTAACGGGTGTCAACTTCTGCACAAAGTTACTCCTAGTTCTTTCATCTATATGGGCCTGGTTCTGGAAGATGCACAGTAAGTTCTACTTCTGCAATATTCTGAGACACTCTCCTGATCATTTCCAGGTGACAAATCAAATATGATCTCACAAGATCTCTCAGTGTGAATGGGCACGCCGAACTTAACCAACATCGGATCACGCTACAACAACAGCTAGCCCACTTCCGCATCATACAGCGGGTATATATGGTAGGCATCGAAGGCTGGATTGAAGATCAAGACATGAACTCGTCTGAGGAAGTCGAGGATGAATCGCTCTGGCTGCCGTCGACACTCCCTCCAAGCAATCGAGACTTACTATGTACCAACAATATTGCTCACATCGAGGCTGAGTTGCACAAGGGACAGTGTCGCGATTCACTCGATAAGTTGCGCAGGCAACTACATACTAAATCCCATTTTGTCAAGCACCGCAATCTCGATTTACGCGGACAACAAGCCAACACTCGCACAAATTCCTCTCTTGCTCGGTTGAACACCAAAATCAATGCTGCCGCAGAAAAATACCGTGTCGCTTGGTCAGCATTGCTAGAACTGGTTGGGATCAGCGAGTTGGACAGGGAATTTCAATCCCTAGAGGCAAAGGACATCATGGCACCTGTCGACACAGTGTCGGGTGTGAGGAGTACTACAGGAATGCGTGGAAGGAGAGACGCATCACGCGGATTAGGGCAGGGGTATCAGATGACATCGTGGATTTGGTCCATTTCAGGCATTCTCGATCACGAAAGTGATGCGGGTCTGAATGATGGTGAGTGCATTAATACATGTAGCGACTCTCTATTCTGACCTTTACTGTAGTGTTGCATGTAGAATGGGCTAAGTCTCGTGCCCATGCGCAACGGTGGAGTGAAGAGGTGTTACTCCTCAAGGAGGAAATGCGGCGAACATGACAATTTCTCGCATGGTGTGCAGAACAGTGGCAATCTATCACTGACCTGTCACACAAGGACACACAGATTGTGGCTGGTGCCATCGCATATGCTCACAGGCAGGCTGCAGTTCAGCGTGCACTACTGTCTCGTTTTACTTTTCTCTGGACCAATGGAGCTGCCACGGACATCACAGCCGCTACGGATGAGTTGGTTGAATATTTTGCTGGGGATGAGGTTAATTTTGATGACGACGAGGGGTAGGTATCTAGGGGCATATCATATTTGTTTAATTAGTCATCATGAATAAAATTTTAATGTCGAACCTACATTTAAATATGATTTTCAATGTGAATACCCATTAATACCCATTATAATATATTTGACTGGCATGAACCAGCAGTGGGCGGCAGGGTGGCAAGAGCCATAGATTAGGTCAAAGTGTGCACCTGGTAATTGCCGTGAATCATGACAATTTGAAAGCTGGTAGTTGCCACTTTACTAGGTCTAATACTACAACTAGGGGTGGCTTATGGTAATATGGGTTGAATAGGTGGAGGATGAGAAATTGCACTCTGGAAAGCCCAGCTGGGTGAACTTCAAAAATGCTGTTTGGCACAAGTCATTCGCAAGGATTATCTCTTTGTTAGCCTCAAAATCAAAAATGGGGCAATGGTTTGAATGTCTAGATGGCGTTATGCGCTGGTTTTTTCTTTGTATTCTCATTCTATCAGCTGATTTTGAAGAACAGTGAGTGTTGAATTGCGTCTTTTCATTCATTGTTTACTAGTAATACTCTCATTGACATACAGATGTGTCATGTCACTTATGCGAGGACTCATGAGCCTTTGGCCATGTCCCGTTTGCCTCGTTCCTCGAAATGACCTTTGGGATACTTCGAAAACCTATCGCCGACGAACATCTGAAGAGTCACAGGCACTTGTAAATACTGCACTCGCAAAAGAAACATTTGAAGAGAGAGAGGAACTCCTGAAAGAACAGGCTCTTCGTTGTGTTGAGGTGAGAGAATGTTTAACCATACAAATATATAGAATTGATTTTTTTAGAGCGCATTTTGGGCTGTGGCATTTACTTGTGTCTTCTGTGCCCTGTCACACGACCGCTGTCACTTCAATCATGGCGGACTCTGGTCACGCCATTTATGGGTCGAGCTACAGAAATACCTTGGGATCCTTGGACGAGAGGCACTATCGCAAGTCGACAAGAGGTTTGTTCTTTTTAATCCGTCAAATTTTCGAACTGATACTATTATGTAGCTACGAAAGATTTCCACATTGGCGGAACCTCAAACACCCAAACAAGGTTGTCGGTGTTACATTCACAGACAGTTCTGTTCACGAGGACATTTCCAAGGTTCATGGGCTCATGCAATCATCTCTTTATCTCATTCATGTACTAACTGTTCTCAGATGATTATTTATGTGACACATAATGTCTTGACCGAGCATGATTCTCCGCTCAGTTATCTTCTCCTACAATGTATACACCTTTACCTCGAAATGGACATCTACGCTGCGCTAGAAGTTCACACCACTAATACGATCAATGAAGGGAGACATACTGTCCAGGCATTTACAGCGCTCATGGGGGTATGTACCTTGTAGTCATTCATCTATGGCTGTAATATCCTGACACATCAGTAGCAATATATGAATCAAACTGCTGACGACAACGAGAAAAATTGGAACTTCCCAAAACTACATATGGGCACGCATATATTCGACGACATCAAGGCTAAAGGCGCTTCCCGCAATTACAACACCAAGCCGAATGAGCAGATGCATGGGCCCATGAAGGATTGGTACCTGAACCAGACGAACTTCAAGAATATTGCGGAGCAGGTGATGTGTATTGATGTGTACAATTATTCCCTACTAATTATTTTGTGCTATATTTACAGATTCTTCGAATTGATCACTGGCTTCTCATCGCAGATGACATCCATTGTCGTATATCGGATTTTGATGAGTATTCACAGTCGAAATCAGAAGTAGACAATGACTTACAAGATGACAATGATTCGGAAGATGTCATTATCATGGATGATGACCCAGGCGTCATTTTCTTGGATCCATCACCGCACATCAAAATTGGGTCAAGACAAATAGCACAGACCTTCAGTTCACTCGAGAGCACACATCAAGTTGATGTTGGATTCACTAACTTCCGCATCAAGCTTAACGATTTCTTAAATGAGTTCCTGCCTGCCTGTAACATTCCACTACCAGGCGGGAAAAGAATTCATTTTCAATCAAATGATATGGTAGGTTTGTTTGATTCTGCTTCTTGTCACTACTAATTGAAAACAGATCACCGAGTGTAGATTCTTACGAGTCAACTATGAGTCGCTGGTAGATTGGCGACAGTATACTGACTATCTCCGGTGCAATCCACAGTTCTTCAACGCACCACGTTTTGACTGCGTCATTATCTGGACAAACGACAACATCATCCTTGGATGCTTAGCCTTTCTTTTTGAATGCGCAGTTGGGAACGACTTGTTTCCCCTCGCTCTTCACATATTACAGTGACCTATTTCCGTATAATACGAGGGAACGGACGTGCATAATATCCCGTATGATACGGGCCAGCGGACCATGGGCCCATGATCAAAATATCCTCGACTATGACGGATGGGCCGGGAGGCAAATTATTCCCGATGGAGGCGGGTGGGCCCATGCAGGGGATATATAGAGTAGATGAGTGGGCCGATGTACATGAATATTAGGTAGACGGGTGGGCCGAGGTAGTTGGATATTATGCAGATGGGTATATTAAGGTAGATGTGTATGAGATAGATGGGTAGGTACTTGTTATCACATTCACGGGTGGGCCCAGACACATATTAAATTAGATGGGTGGGCCGAGGGTATTATACAATATTGTATTATACGGGTGGGCCCAGATGCATATTAATTAGACCGGTGGGCCGAGGGTGTTGTATGGGATGTTGTATTAGACGGGTGGGCCGAGGGTGGTATAAAATATAGATGGGTGGGCCCATGTGTATCATAATTGTAAACACGATGGAGCTGAGGTAGTTGTACATCAACCAAATCAGAGGAGGTAATAAAATCAAAGTTACCAAGTTCCTGGAGCAGCAGGTGATCTCCTGACATGGCCTTTGATGGTGCACAGGTTGTCTTGCAAAATTTGGAATCCGGGGTGCGAAGCTTGTGTTACCCTATGAGAAGCCAAGTTCCGATTACCAACCTTTGGGTCAACCGTACTCAGAGGAGGTAATAAATCAAAGTTCCTGAGTTCCCGGAGCAGCAGGTGATCTCCTGACATGGCCTTTGATGGTGCACAGGTTGTCTTGCAGAATTTGGAATCCAGGGTGTGAAGCTTGTGTTGCCCTATGAGATGCCAAGTTCTGACCACCCAAATTTGGGTCAACCATACCGACTTCCAAGTTCCGGGACCCGGGAGTCGACAAATGAATATCTGATAACCAGCACACTTCCAATCAGGTAGTATTTCATTGAGCAATGAATCATCCAAGGGGTCTCTTATCAGACTCGGTAGTCAATATAGGCAAATGATAATGAAAACATGAAAGTTGTTATTATGCTATTTTTCAAACCCGAGACCCTGAAACCCATTGTTCAACATGTCCATTTTTCACTCACTGCACAAATCACCAAGTTTCGAGTGCCAAAGCGTGAAACTTGAAACCCAGTGTGCAACATGTCCATTTTTCATGTACATTACACAATTCATTGAGTTCCGAGTGCCAAGTGCCGAAACCCGAACCCCGAGACCCGAAAATATGTATGCAACATTTCCATTTTTCACTTGTTGCACAAATCACTGAGTTTCAAGTGCCGAAACCCAAAACTTGAAACCTGGCATGCAACATGTCCATTGTTCAATTATATTACACAAGTCATTGAGTTCCGAGCTCCGAGGGCCAAAACCTGAACCCCGAGACCCGAAAATATGTACACAACATGTCCATTTTTCACTCATTGCACAAATCACCGAGTTTTGAGTGCTGCAACCCAAAACTTGAAACCCGGCATGCAACATGTTGATTTTTCATTTACATCACACAAATCATTGAGTTCCGAGGTCCGAGGTCCGAGACCCGAACCCCGAACCCCGAAAATATGTGCACAACATGTCCATTTTTTACTTGTTGCACAAATCACTGAGTTTCAAGTGCCGAAACCCAAAACTCGAAACCCGGCATGCAACATGTCCATTGTTCAATTATATTACACAAGTCATTGAGTTCCGAGCTCCGAGGGCCGAAACCCGAACCCCGAACCCCGAAAATATGTACACAACATGTCCATTTTTCACTCATTGCACAAATCACCGAGTTTTGAGTGCTGAAACCCAAAACTTGAAACCTGGCATGCAACATGTTGATTTTTCATTTACATTACACAAATCATCGAGTTCCAAGTGCCAAGGGCCGAGACCCGAAAATATGTATGCAACATTTCCATTTTTCACTTGTTGCACAAATCACCAAGTTTCAAGTGCTGAAACCTGAAACTCAAAACCGGGTGTGCAACATGTCCACTGTTCAATTATATTACACAAGTCATTAAGTTCCGAGTTCCGAGGGCCGAAACCCGAACCCCGAGACCCGAAAATATGTGCACAACATGTCCATTTTTCACTCACTGTACAAATCACTGAGTTTTGAGTGCTGAAACCCGAAACTCAAAACCCGGCATGCAACATGTTGATTTTTCATTTACATTACTCAAATCATCGAGTTCCGAGTGCCGAGGGCCGAGACCCAAAGCCCGAAACCCAACATCATGTACACAACATGTCCATTTTTCACTCATTTCACAAATCACCAAGTGTCGAGTGTCAAAACCTGAAACCCGGTACTTCAAATGGACACAAATTGTATTTGTATGTATTATCCATTGGTGTAGGGCTCAAATAACCTGGGAATTGTATTTGTCAGTACTCGGTACTTGGGACTTGGGACTTGGGACTTGGTACTTGGTACTTGGTACTTGGCACTCAGTAATCGGTGGTCAGTGGTTGGTACTTGGGACTCGGTACTTGGTACTCGGTTCTCGGGACTCGGTACTCGGGACTTGGGACTCAAGACTCGGGACTCGAGACTTGAGACTTGGGACTCGGGACTCAGGATTCGGGACTCGGGACTCGGGATTCAGGACTCGAGACTCGGGACTCGGGACTCGGTACTTGGTACTCGGTGATTGGTGGTCAGTGGTTGGTACTCAAGACTCGGTAGTTTCTCCCTGATACCCACCAAAAAACCCACACCCACAAGGTGGGTGTGGGTATATCATGGGGTATGGGTGGGGGTAGTGCTACTCATACCCCGGGGTTCACCCACACTATTCCCTATCGGTACTCGGTACTCGGCACTCGGTGATCGGTGGTCAGTGGTTGGTACTCGAGACTCGGTAGTCAATATAGGCAAATGATAATGAAAAATGACAGTTGTAGTCCATGTCAAGGTGAGTGATTTGGTAGTCTTTCCTTGTCATTCAGCAAAACATCAGCAATAATGAAAAAATGAAAGTTGTTATTATGCTTAACTCCTTACCAAAGGTTGTAGTCCGAGTCCAGGTGAGTGTAGTGGTAGTCTTTTCTTGTCAATTGGTTATCTTGTTACTCATTACGCAGTACTTGGTACATGGTAATTGGTACTCAGTATTTGGTTTTGATACTCGGTATCTGGGAATCAGTAGTCAGCTTAATCAAGGTTGTAGTCCGAGTCTAGGTGAGTTTATTTGTAGTCTTTTCTCGTCCATTGGTTACCATGTGACCAAGATATAAGCTAAAGAAATCCAAAACATCAATAATGACAAATGAAATACATGTGTGCAGTAAGTGAGTCTAAAGATAAAGAATGAATATTAATAGCGAGACTTGCACATTATGTTGAGATATCCAACATGACAAGCCTGTGATGTGATCAGAGACCTGGAATAACACCCATATACATCCATTATAATAGCTTAAAAGCTTAGAAATATTCATGAAGGATTGATGTAATGATAGGCAAAATGATGTGTGGAGAGTGACAGTAGACATCTTTTATATAAAGTCACATTTATATATGATTCAGGCCAAAAATATCATTACAAATATGTAGGATAGATTGTAAACTACCCAAGGAACCCATACTGCCTACTGCCCTGAGGGTAGGGGGTGGGTAGAAGGGATATAGTGAAAATATGAGTTGACCCAGCATTAAAGTCCTACCACTGCTCAACTAACCATTTTCGATGCTTTGGGTCTTTGAAGTTTCCCACACTCAATTTCTTACCCATTTCACTTCCTCAGTACTCAATTCTTGGTTGATTTGTCTGTAAATTTATGTCTATGATACTTAAGATATTTGAAATGTACCCCAGGTTTCTGATTATGAAGATTCAATGTTTTGAAGGCATGGGCCCCTTATCAGGCAAAATGGCAAGTATGCACACTAGCTCACAAACTCCAGCCTATTGTGAGCTGATCTTGGTCATAAGAAGCAAGAATATAAGCTATGCTCATTATATATTAAAAGGTTGGATCATGGATGCAAGGGCAAGATACTGAAAATTGTGAAAAAATGTCACAAGTGCAATTGTCTATGCTTTGTTCCTGGAGAAGGATCCTGTGTGTCCTGGGCTGGTTATATGATATATCTACTCCGAATATGCTCAGGAATAGACTCCCTACAGTCCTTGAGGTCCAGCTTTACAGGGAAAAACCCCCAGCGGGTGAACCACCAGAAGAGGGGGAGGTACACTATACAATAAAGGATTACCCTATGGTCCTGAGCTCCTGATACATTGTTTCTATTGTTGAATAGATGATTGAGATATAATTCCAAAGTCTGTTCACCTAGAAATGAACACATAGGAACATATTTTGTATTTTTATGTATATATGCAATATCCATTTAAGCACCAAGTCTCAACTACCGATTACCAAGTCCCGACACTTGATAGTTGATAGTCAGTATTTGAGCTCCGAGTGCCAATATTGCCTACCAATATCTCAGTCAAATGATAACCAAACCAAGACCCAAGTTCCAAACCTGACTACCGAATACCAAATATCAGTACTCGGGACTCGGGACTATTGGCTGGAGTACCCAACTATTGATTCCCAGGTACTGAGAATTAGAACCAAGTACCAAGTACCTGACTACTGATTCTCGGGTACCAAGTATCAGAACCAAGTACCAAGTACCCGACTACTGATTTGAAGTACCGGGTTTCGGGTTTCGGCACTCGACACTTGGTGATTTGTGCAATGAGTAGATGGGCATGTGGCATACATGTTTTTGGGCTTCGGGTTTTAGGATTCTGCCCTTGGCACTCAATGATCTGTGTAATGTAAATGAATAATGAACATGTTGCACACTGGGTTTCGAGTTTCGGGTTTCAGCACTTGAAACTCGGTGATTTGTGCAACAAGTGAAAAATGGAAATGTTGCATACATATTTTCAGGTCTCGGGGTTCGGGTTTTGGCCCTCGGCACTCGGAACTCAATGAATTGTGTAATGTACATGAAAAATGGACATGTTGCACACTGGGTTTCAAGTTTCACGCTTTGGCACTCGAAACTCGGTGATTTATGCAGTGAGTGAAAAATGGACATGTTGTGTACATATTTTCAGGTCTCAGGCTTTGGGTCTCAGCCCTCGGCACTCGGAACTCGATGATTTGTGTGATATAAATGAAAAATCAACATGTTGCACACTGGGTTTCAAGTTTCACGCTTTGGCAGAACTCGAAGTTGTTGATTTAGATATCACCCAAAACCTGAACACCCGAATGTCAAATTTTCAGTGCCGAACCCCCAACCCTGACTGCCGGGTGCTGAGTCCCGAAGTCCGGAACTCAGGATTTGACATTTGAGATGAACGAAATTTTTCAGACATGTTTGAATTAATCTACGTATATCTATAAACATTTCACTAACCCCTGAACCCTGAAAGATATTTTTGTTGTCTTACATACCAAATTCCGAGTTCCAAGTTCCGGGACCCCGGACCCCCGAAACCCAGCAGTCCACAATTTCGGAGTTCGGGGGTTGATAAAATGTGTATGGATATATGAAGGGTTGGTTTAAACATTTTAAAAGATGTCTCATATCAAATGTCAAGTCCCAAGTTTCGATTTCCGGGTTTCAAGAGTGCTGAGTCCCGAAACCTGGAGTCCTGAAACCCGGAAATCAAAACTCGGGACTTGACATTTGATATGAGACATCTTTCAGAAATGTTTCAATCAACCTTTCATATATCCATGCACATTTTACCAACCCCTGAACCCCGAAATTGTGGACTGCCAGGTCTCGGGGTTCGGGGGTCCCGGAACTCGGAACTCGGGAAATTTGGGGAGATCAATAAAATTTGATTTACCCATGTTGAAAATATATTTTTGTTCTACATACCGAGTTCCGAGTTCCGGACCCCCGAACACCGAGACCCGGCAGTCTCGGGGTTCGGGGTTCGGGGGTCCCGGCACTCGGAACTTGGGGAGATTTGGGGAGATCAATAAAATTTGATTTACAATTGAGTTGATTGGCAAACACATTGACTTACCCATGTTTGAAATATATTTTTGTTTACACATACTGAGTTCCGAGTTCCGGGTTCCGGACCTCCGAACCCTGAAACCCGAGACCCGGCAGTCCACAATTCTGGGGTTCGGGGGTTGGTAAAATGTGTATGAATATATGAAAGGTTGAATGAAACATTTTTGAAAGATGTCTCATATCAAATGTCAAATCCCGAGTTTCAACTTCTGGATTTTGGGAGTGCCGAGTCCCGAAACCTGGAGTCTTGAAACCCGAAATTCGAAACTCGGGACTTAACATTTGATATGAGACATCTTTCAAAAATGTTTCATTCAACCTTTCATATATTCATACACATTTTGCCAACCCCTGAACCCCAGAATTGTGGACTGCTGGGTCTCGGGTTTTGGGGTTGGGGGGTCCAGAACTCAGAACTCAGTATGTGTAAACAAAAATATATTTCAAACATGGGTAAGTCAATGTGTTTGTCAATCAACTCAATTATGAATCAAATTGTATTGATCTCCCCAAATTTCCCCCGAGTTCCGAGTTCCGGACACCCGATACCCGAGACTCAAATTGTATTGATCTCCCCAAATTTTCCCAAGTTCCAAGTTCCGGACACCCGACACCCGACACCCGGCAGTCTCGGGTATCGGGTGTCCGGAACTCGGAACTCGGGGGAAATTTGGGGAGATCAATACAATTTAATTTACAATCGAGTTAATTGACAACACATTGACTTAATCATGTTTGCAATATATTTTTGTTTAGACATACCGAGTTCCGAGTTCCGGACACCCGATACCCGAGACCCGAGACTGCCGGGTTTCGGGTGTCGGGTGTCCAGAACTCGGAACTTGGGAAAGTTTGGGGAGATCAATACAATTTGATTCACAATCAAGTTGATTGACAAACACATTGACTTAACTATGTTTGCAATATATTTTTGTTTAGACATACCGAGTTCCGGACACCCGATACCTGAGACCCGGCAGTCTCAGGTTTCGGGGTCCGGGGGTCCGGAACTCAGAACTCGGTATGTCTAAACAAAAATATATTGCAAACATGGGTAAGTCAATGTGTTGTCAATCAACTCGATTGTAAATTAAATTGTATTGATCTCCCCAAATTCTCCCAAGTTCCGAGTTCCGGACACCCGATACCTGAGACCCGGCAGTCTCAGGTTTCGGGTTTCAGGGGTTGGTACATCTCAGTTTGGGGTTTGGCACTGAAAATTTGACATATATATTTTTGTGAGTGTTGTGCTTCTGGTGTCCATGCTTAGAAATAGGATTTGTTGCACACCAGGGTTCAGGTGTGGGGTTTTTCCACTTCAGTCCTGGATTATTGGTCAATGCCACACATGATCGATTCATGTTTTTGTGCTTAGGGGTTTAGATTTGGTGGTTGATGGTAGGTATATGCACTCATAGTGTACATGTATCCTATGTGTTTGATTCGCTGGTGGCTACATCAGCTGTATGTCTTGATGGAACATATCTAGGCTCACCCATATATGTAATACACCCCCGACGGCCTGCCCATCTATGTATTATCCCCCACGTCAGCCAACCCATCTATGTAATACATCCTATGTTGGCCCACCCATCTATATAATACATCCTGCATCGGCCCACCCGTCTATATAATTATACCCCACCTTGGCCCACCTGTCTATGTAATAAATATTTTATAGCACCCTCGGCCCACTGGTCTATTTGATATCCCTTTCGTCGGCCCACCCGTATATGTAATACATTCCATGTCGGCCCACCTGTATATGTAATACACCCTACGTCAGCCCACCCGTCTATGTAATATTTCCCTACCTCGGCCCATCCATATATGTAATACACCCACGTCGGCCCGCCCGTCTATATAACAATATTTGCCTTACATCTCTCTTCAGCCCAGCTGTCTATAATATCCTACTCTACATATTACCCAGATGGGCCCACCCATCTCCATGAATGATCATATTCCCCCGGCCCATCTGTCCACATCAAGGATATATATATCATTGGCATACATGGGCCCACCCGTCTCCATCGGAAATAATATGTGTCCCGGCCCATCCGTCATCATCGAGAATATACACAACATGGGCCCATGATCAGCTGGCCCGTCTCATATGGGATATTATGGAGGTCGGGTGGCCCGTATAATACGGAATTTGTCACTGAAGGGGCTCCGCTCTTGTCCACCCCTTTGATGCGCCGACAGGCCAGCGGCTCCGAAAAGATAAGCAGCTCAATCTTTTCAGAGTCCGAGCCAAACCATGGGCAAGGACGGAGTTCCTCTCAGTTAGATCGATAATTCGGGGAGCACTTCTAGTACAAGACAGCAACTCCCTCAATTACCTCATTGTCGACACCGTTGACACGGACATGTTCCTTCGTGTAAGGGACATGCATCTGCAGGCAGGGCATCCAGTGCGTGTCTGACAGTTTCCTCGAGCCCCTTCAGTGACAAATTCCGTATTATACGGGCCACCCGACCTCCATAATATCCCATATGAGACGGGCCAGCGGATCATGGGCCCATGTTGTGTATATTCTCGATGATGACGGATGGGCCGGGACACATATTATTTCTGAGGGAGACGGGTGGGCCCATGTATGCCAATGATATATATATCCTTGATGTGGACAGATGGGCCGGGGGAATATGATCATTCATGGAGATGGGTGGGCCCATCTGGGTAATATGTAGAGTAGGATATTATAGACAGCTGGGCTGAAGAGAGATGTAAGGCAAATATTGTTATATAGACGGGCGGGCCGACAGGGGTGTATTACATATATGGGTGGGCCGAGGTAGGGGAATATTACATAGACGGGTGGGCTGATGTGGGGTGTATTACATATACAAGTGGGTGGGCCAAGGGTGCGATAAAATATTTATTACATAGACAGGTGGGCCGAGGTGGGGTATAATTATATAGACAGGTGGGCCGATGGAGGATGTATTATATAGATGGGTGGGCCAACATAGGATGTATTACATAGACGGGTGGGCCGAGGTGGGGGATAATGCATAGATGGGTGGGCTGACGTGGGGGAATTGTACATAGATGGGTACATATATGGGTGAGCCTAGATATGTTCCATCAAGACATACAGCTGATGTAGCCACCAGCGAATCAAACATGTAGGATACATGTACACTATGAGTGCATATACCTACCGTCGACCACCAAATCTAAACCCCTAAGCACAAAAACATGAATCGACCATGTGTGGCATTGACCAATAATCGAGGATTGAAGTGGAAAAACTCCACACCTGAACCCTGGTGTGCAACATATCCTATTTATAAGCATGGACACCAGAAGCAAAACACTCACAAAAATATATATGTCAAGTTTTCAGTGCCAAACCCCAAACTGAGATGTACCAACCCCCGAATCCCGAGACTGCCGGGTCTTGGGTTTTGGGGTTCAGGGGTCCCAGAACTCAGAACTCGGGAAATTTGGGGAGATCAATAAAATTTGATTTACAATCGAGTTTATTGACAAACACATTGACTTACCCATGTTTGAAATATATTTTGTTTACACATACCGAGTTCCAAGTTCCGGACCCCCAAACCCCCAAACCCGAGACCCAGCAGTCTCGGGGTTCGGGGGTCCGGAACTTGGAACTCGGTATGTGTAAACAAAATATATTTCAAACATGGGTAAGTCAATGTGTTTGTCAATAAACTCGATTGTAAATCAAATTTTATTGATCTCCCCAAATTTCCCGAGTTCCGAGTTCCGGGACCCCTGTACCCCTGTACCCAAGACCCGGCAGTCTCAGGATTCGGGATTTGGGGGTTGGTACATCTCAGTTTGGGGTTTGGGGGTTAGTAAAATGTTTACAGATATAAGATAGGCCTCAAGCAGTTTCCGCAAACATCACGTGACAAAGTGTGATGAAACGTGACAAAAGCAATGAATGTGTATAGGATGTCCGTGGCGACAAGGTATAAAAAAACGGAAACGGAAGAGTTGTAGTATACGTACTTTTCGACAAATCATCCGTTCCAGAATTACCATTTGTGTGAAATTGAAGGAGGAGATGGCAACACAAGCAAGATTTAAGGCATACATTGTACATAAAGCCCCCAAACACTCTGGACTCCGCTTCACCTACCATCAGCCTGATACTGAAACCTGCCAAAATGCCAAAACGGTCACGAAAAGTCTGGTCTGCGATCGAGAACCTAGGGAGTCAGGCAAAAAAGCGGAAAATATCAGTAGATAAAGAAAATGTGAGTTTTCAATTGTACTCACTTTTGAAATCAATGCTTATGCCTGTGCAGAGTCATCCAGTAGACATAGCTTCGAGTTCTGTAGTAGCTTCAGGCTGTGAAACCACTTTTCCATTCAATTCTACACCTTCGAAGTCTAAGCTCCCAGTTGAGATTGTTCTGTCAGCCTCAGGTCAGGTTTTTGTGCAACTCAAGAACAATGGTGCCGCTATGGACTCGGAGCACAGCCACACTGCCGCTATGGTCTCGGAGCGCAGCCACACTACCGCTATGGACTCAGAGCACAGTACCCACCTTCAAGTAAATGCAAATTTGTCCGAAGAATCCTCACTTGCATTGCAGGACTCAGTGGATATGGATTTGGAGTATAGTGATGCGGCAGAATCAGAGTGTGAGTCTAACTTGGATTTGGATTGCCGAGACCACGAGAGTGCTGGTGACTGTAATGTGGGACCGGTTGAAGGCTTTGAGGATTTCGATGAGCACGCAGCCACAATGATGGGATTGCCTGATGACAATTCATTAATGGACTTCGACACCACAATGGCACGTCCCTCACCACAGACCACCCAGGCTTCATGCAGCCATCATGAGAACATTGTTGAAGATGTAGATGACGAGGGCCTGCCATTGTGCCATCACGATACCTGTCCCACAGCACCGCAACATTTGGGTGATTTACGAATGCCGCCAACAGTTGGCGCAGCCACACTGGCATTAGCGGACCTTAGGAATTTACTTTACCTGCACCGGAACTTCAAGGGACATGGATACAAACCAACTGACCTTGGCCCCATGCTGAAAAAGCGCTTGACATGGATGGAGTACTTCCTGCGGGCCTTCGTAACTGGCACTGCATGGTCAGCTGCAGCACTCCAGACTGCAAAATTCATTGGAAAGGGGACTTACATGTCACGAAAGGTGAAGGAATGGTCGAAGTCATACATCCTGGATCGTGAAAACTTGCCATTGGCAAAGTATGGTGGCAATTCGACGAGATCGCGGATTGATGATGAAGATCTTAAGGAGGAGTTACTGGTTCATCTCCAGTCACTCGGAAAATATATTTCTGCAACAGCAGTTATCAATTATCTTGCACAGCCTGATGTACAGCAACGTTTCAAGCTCACTAAAAGTATTTCATTGGCAACCGCACAACGATGGATGGAGAACTGTGGATTTCGATGGACTACAGCCCGAAATGGACAATATGTTGATGGCCATGAACGAGAGGATGTAGTTGAATATCGACAGAATAAATTCCTGCCAATGTGGTATGCATTGGAACCAAAGACTCGAAAATGGTCTTCTGTTGATGTTATGCAGCTGGAGGATGATAAGGAGACCGGGCGGCGCACTGTTGTGTGGTTCCATGACGAATCCACCTTTTATGCCAATGATCGGCGCAAAAAATGTTGGGTCCACAAAGAAGAAAAGGCAACTCCGCAACCAAAGGGTGAGGGATCTTCTCTCATGGTCGCAGATTTCGTTTCAGCAGATTATGGCTGGTTGCGGTCTCGTGATGGGAATCAATCTGCCCGTGTGCTCTTTAGGGCGGGAAAGGGGAGGGATGGGTACTTCACCAATGATGAAATTCTTCAACATGCCGAGAAAGCAATGACAATTCTGGAGAAAGATTACCCAGAAGATGACCACGTTTTTGTGTTTGACAATGCAACGACACACCTTAAAAGGGCTGATGATGCATTAAGTGCTCGAAACATGCCCAAGACTTGCAAGAACTGGGGGGTCAGTGCTCCGGTGAGGGATGCCACAGGAAAACAAACCCATGGTGGAGATGGGAAGATTTTGATGCAAAAGGTTTGTATCGCTAATGGTGTTTTTAATGGTGCCCCTCAGGAGTTCTATTTTCCTGAGGGTCACACAAACACTGGGTTGTTCAAGGGAATGGCCAAAATTCTAGAGGAGCGTGGTTTCGATGTCAGCAAAAAGAAGGCTCAGTGCAAGGATTTCAACTGTCCTCGTGGTTCCACTTCTTGTTGTTGTCGCCGAATTCTCTATAACCAGCCAGATTTTGTTAATGTCGAGTCAAACTTGGAGAGGGTGTGCAGGTTAAAGGGCTTCAAGGTGCTCTTCCTTCCAAAATTTCATTGTGAGCTCAGCTTTATTGAACAATGCTGGGGGTATGCAAAGCGGCTATATCGCTGCTACCCATTATCATCTGGGGAAGCTAATCTGGAACATAATGTCATAAAATCACTGGATGCAGTTCCTCTAACCAGCATGCGAAAGTAAGTGTCATGCTTTTTCTGATGTGTACTTAGATGGCACTAATGAAAATTAGGTTTGCCATCAGATCACGCCGTTTCATGGATGCTTATTATAAAGGACTTAATGGCAAACAAGCTGCCTGGGCTGCAAAGCAATACCGAGGCCATCGTGTACTCCCTTCAGCAATAATGTCAGAATTCGAGAGTGCACACTTAAATTAAACATAGTCTTCATATTAACATGTACCTATTAATTTTATTACATACTGTAAATCCTGCAAGTTTGTTCTGTATCACCGCTGTGGCGCTGCCAGTATGCTTCTGGAGTCCCGGTACCAAATGCAGTAATCACAAGTAGAGTCACAGCAAGTCACATCACGTGATGTTTGCGGAAACTGCTTGAGGCCTATCTTACGTAGGTTGATTTAAACATTGTCTGAGAGATGTCGTTCGTCTCAAATGTCAAATCCTGAGTTCCAAATTTTGGGACTCAGCACCTGGCACCCGGGACTCGGGGTTCGGCACTGAGAATTTGACATTTGGGTGTTCAGGTTTCGGGTGATATCTACCTCAATCTATAGTTTCGAGTTCTGGATATCAGGACTGATCATTGAATCATTCAATTGTGGCATAGGTAACATGCATTGAAAAAGATTTATGTACATCTATCACTGAGCAATTATGTAGCCATTTCAACCTCCTCACCAGGAAGATCAACCTTTCCCTCAACATCCATCTCCTCATCAGAGGAAGCATATTCTGGCAGGAGGTTACCTGGTTCATTAGGGACCACAATATCGCCGGAGGATTCTGGCAAGAGGTTGCCTGGTTCATCTGGGAGCACAATTTCGCCGGAGGATTGTGGACCCTCAGGCTGAACTTGGGTGGGCTCAACCATGGGACCTACCATAGCAGATCCATGCTCAGGCATCACAGGTGTGGGTTCCATCACTGAAAAGTCCAAATCAATGAGGTTGGAAAGTGCGGAGGGGAGGGGTGACATGGATGGGGGGGACCTCCTTGATCAAGCAACATTAATCCATCGGCCGGTGTGTCCGGAAGTGAAAATGAAGGGTGCTGGTCGATCACTGTGCGCCAGAGGCTCTCATGGAGGCGTTGCAGGGTATCAATCTTAGTGTCCTGCTCCTGCACCCGAGCCTCAAGAATCGCGATGTGAGCTGCACCATCCCAAATCGCGATTGCCATGGAATAAAGATCTGGCATGGGAACATCGAGTGCTGCATGAGGCACTGTGACGCTGGAAGACCTGACTGCTAAGTAAAAAATTAGGTCAGCCGGTCATCAAGGGTTTGAGTGACTTACCAGCTGGCGCAGGTGCAGGGACAGGTGCAGGGACAGGTGCAGGTGTCTTCTTGATGGTGATGGTCTTGCTGTGACCACGTGACTGCACCTGGGGTGTAGTTGCAGCAGGGATGGCCGGAGGTCGGTGTAGAAACAACAATACTGAGAGGAACAAAGAAAAGCTCCTGATTGTATCTAAAAAGTTGTAGGTCGTGCGTTGCCTAGTTTGCGATACTTGAGATGGCAAGTGCATTCGACCCTAAAGGGGAAGCAGGTGCAGCGGAGATCTAGAGGTACGCGCTTCAGCGAAGCGCGAGAAAGCGCAGGTGCGCGCAAGGTACGAAGGCGCGGGAACGCGCGCGCGTATTAGCGTGAAGCGCAGGAAAGCGCGTGCGTGTAAGCGGAAATAAGAGAGACTAAACTTATGTGAAGATATAAGCAAGATAAAGGATGTGAGATGTGTTGTGCTAATGAATAGATTTCTACTGCGACTTTCTAAGTAGTAAGTACTAGGTAAAGTTGGGTGAAAAGTAAGGTAAATAATAGTATGTACTGCTGGCGCTTATATAGCGCGCCTAAGCGCGGTCATGCGGAGCCGAAGCGCTACCGAGTAGGTATGTAAAAATATATATGAGTGAGAAACTATGATAAAAATAAAGGTGGAACTATGCTAATAAAGGAAATGGAATATACGCACTAGGGAGCTTGGTGGACAGTGGATGGATGCATCTGGATGGCTGGCGCTATAGGGCGCACAAGCGCGGGAACGCACGCGCGCGTATACATCGTGAAGCGCGGGAATGGTGCGCGCATGGCGCGCGTTGCGCGGGAAAGCTGCGCGTCATATAGGAATCACTGTGGATGGTACACAGAGTGATGCTGTGAGTTGGTGCTGTATACTCCCTAGTGTAAAGCGCCATATCACACTATGAGATGCACGAGTCTCTACATCGGGACGGGCCATGAGGTTGACTATGAGTTCGGGCCCTTAACCGGGAGGGAGACGGAGCATTGGATGGAGCAGGGGCAGGTGTCTTGGAACACGTCCGGCCGGTGGTAGACTTCCCTCGGATCCGTTTGGGTGGGGATCCCAGAGATGCAGGGTTGCATTTGATCTTCTTGGTGGAGCAGCGGATGCAAGACAAGCAGGGGAGACTGGTCCTCTTGTCCAAACGAGTCGCACAGGGCCAATTCTCCTTGACACAATAATGGCAGGGGTTGTTCTGTGGTATCCATTAGTAGATGGATGAAGGGGAATTAATTGGAGTACTCACTGGGCCGGGAATGGTGATATCAAATGTAATATTGGCTGGTGGGTCACCATCCGAAGCATTGGAAGTATCTTCAGAGGGCTCCTCAACTTCCAGACGACTGCCGGAGGTTGCCTGACGGATTGTTAATACACATATGAGTTTCTGGAGAGCTTCTAAGACTTACCCGAGCCTCTGGACAACCGATGGGAGATTTCTAATGTAATGGGAATGAGTGACAATTATATATGGGAGGTCCGGACAAGTCTGAACGACTCACTGTGACCTCTGGACGACTGCCAGCAGTCAGCTGTGGACACATGAGCATATATTTAAGGTCCAAACGGATAAATCAGACTTACCGAAGCAGGCCCAAATGATTGCTTCTTGGGGGAACCAGGTGACCAAGGTGACTGGGGCTTCCTTACAACAATGGTGGAGCGCTGGGGAAGGACGACCTCCGGCACTCCACACGAAATCAGCTGCAACAAGTTGAAAGCATGTCACAAATAAGCCAGAACACATACCTGAACAATTGGGTCTTCATCATCTTCCGACTCCACAAACAGCTTCGACTTCGGGAGTTGAGTTGAGTTGACACACTTGCGTGCCTTCATCGCTGACTTTGGAGATTGGGAGGAGTGTCCGGAAATCATCGGAGACTTCCTTTTGTTGCTCCCCCCAACTTCCGGCTCCAGGTCGATGGAGGTGGCCTTACCTTTTCCTTTGTCCTGGACCTCATGGGTCGTCTTGCCAGAAGGTCTGGCGACGACCGGAGGTGAGGGAATGACGGGGGTGGGGGAAGGGACAGGTGCAGGTGAAGGGACAGGTGGAGATGGAAGGTTGACAGTCAGTGGGCCAGTGGAAACGTTAGGGACAACAGGGAGATCACAGGAATTGTCACCCAACGCCTCCCAGGCATGGACTTGCTTGCGCCAGGCGTGTCTAGCCACATGGGGGTCATCATGGCCAATGCTGAACCAGTTGGGCAATGCCTGGGGAGTCATGGAACGCACCCTCATCAGCTCCTTGGAGCAGGATGCCACAATTCCAGGGATGTATTCCCCTTTCTCATAGGCCCAGATGATGTCAGCCTGCCCGGACATTAGAAACATTAATGTTACACTAATGTAATGAGTTCAACATACCAAAAGAGTGGTGACCTGCTTTGTCAGAGCAAGGTGGACGTCCACTGAGCCGGCCGGGATGTGCCGGGCGCCGGCAATGATGCCCACAAGTTGAGCAGTGGGTGCCTTGAGGTCGGCCAAGGAAGATTGAACTTGAGTAGACATTTGGATTGAGTTGAGAGATGTGAGAATGTTGAAAGCAGGGTGAAATCTGTTATCACTAGAATGAAGTTTCAAAGAAACAATACAATTGAAGGATGATGTTGAAAATCATTCATTGTTTGTGTTTGTTTGGTCATGGTTCAACTTTCGGCAATTGCCGGCCATCTGTTGAACTTCGACGTTATCAGTTATCAATCAGTTCATCAGTTCATCAGCTCATCAGATATCATGAGTTCTCAACCTGGAGTCAGATTTCATGACCCTCCGGTCACTGAATTCACTTCAATGGATGTGGATGAGTCCTCCCAGTCCCGGATGTCCCTTGGTATGTTTTGTTTTTTCTGATTTCAGTCAATTGATCTGACATGGTTTAGATCCATTAGATGATATATACCTTGAGCCGGATGATGAGTTAGACTCTGATTCTGGGTCGTCCGGTGGTTTGGATGTGTTGAATGTGATTCCTGGTATGTTTTCCAATTCAAATGGACATATTCCGCATGTGCAAATTCATGACATACTTCCAGATCCATCATCTCTGGCTCTGGCAGATGGACTGGCCCTGTACGATGACCCAGACTTGTATCTTGGTCCGGAGGATACCTTGATTTCGTCTGATGCTCTGGATGTACCCGACTTTCCTATGGCTGGTGAGGTCATTCTTTCTATTTCATGTTCACCTTTCATGGCATTTCCCCAGTGAATGAATCGACTCTGGAGCCTCATCCGGCTACTTCGGTTGTACCAGAGGCACCCATACCTTGTAGGTATAGTCATATCATTTCATGTTCTTTACTCATGCTATCTCCCAAGCTATTTCAGAAACTGCCGAACGTCAATCGCTCGAGCCGGAACTCAACAATGAAGCACTGCATGCCATGGTTCAGGAGTTCATGCCAATCGGATCTTATGATCAAGCTGAAGGTAAGTATGCAACATTTGATTATTTATCTCTGCTAATATCCTGCAAGTTCAGTCAATTGTAGATCGCCTGGGTGATTACCAACAGCGTCATGGAGATCTTCCTGCCCCTACAGTAGCACAAATTCTTGAGGCTGACAGACCATTCAGGATGGCATGGGCTGAAAAATGCGACAAGCTGCGGAAAGCAGATGCTGACCTCCGGAGGATGCAAAGGGTAAGGGAGTCAACCTCCAAAATGCTGAAGGTATTAGATACCATCATTGAGGCCTTTGAGGACTCAAGTAACATGTAAATATTGATCAATGTCTGATAGTAGACACATTGCAGTATACTTTACCTACTAAGTACTTAATACTTGGTACTTGTATACTGTACCTACTCAGTAGGTAGTCCTTGGTACTTGTATACTCTACCTACCTAGTACTTGCTGCCCGGTTTTCGGTGCTCGGTACTTGGT